CCACAACGTGCACGGGCGCCGCGGCTCGGGCGCCTCGGCGTCCACCAACGCGGAGGCCAACACGACGTCCACCTCGGCGCCCGAGTCCACCATCCAGTCCACGTGCCTGCGCTGCGTGCACGGCGACCACCGGCACCACTCCACCTTCACGGAGGTCAGCTCGGACCTGTCGAACGGCAACGGCCACGTCAACGGCCACGCCAACGGCCACGCCAACGGACCCGTCAACGGCCACGTCAACGGTGACGTCAACGGGCGCGTTAACGGTGACGTCAACGGGCGCGTTAACGGCCACGTCAACGGCCACGATAACGGCCACGTTAACGGTCACCTCGACGGCCAAGTCAACGGCCACGTTAACGGTCACCTCAACGGCCACGTCAACGGCTACGTTAACGGCCACGTTAACGGGGCGGCCAACGGCCACGTCAACGGCGTAGTCAACGGCGTGGCCAACGGGCACGCTAACGGTGTAGAAAACGACGACGAGGACCTGCCCCTGGCGGCGCTGTCGGTGACCAAAGGCCTCGGCAAGCCCGTCGTGTCCAAAGGCCTCGTCCCCAACGGCCAGCTCACCAGTCCCGCCCACCCCGTGTAACCCTGTGGAGCATGATGTGTTTGAGGAATCTGTTGATAACTCCCCGCGCAGCGGAGGGGAGGGGCAGGTATTTCTGTCGCGGACGCCAGTGCCTCTTTCTCTCTCTGCCGGCGAGACGTCGAGACGCCCTTGGGAGGACGATCGTCTATTGAAGACTGACAGGTCAGCCGCGCCCGGCGTGCCGCGGTCCGCTGCCGCCCGCTGGCGTGGCCGACTAAAAATATAAACAGTTTCATTGCCCCCACCTCTCACTATGCATGACGGTGCAGTGACTAATTTTTCATACCAAACTTAGTTACCTTCTTTTTTTTCCCCCACACTCGTGCCAGCGAATCAGAATGTGAATCCCCGTGTCTGACATTCCTAGACTTGTCGCCTGCCCGCAGATCTGTGTTAGTTTTACACCGATCTTATTGTGTGATAATCTTAGCAACTGTATCACTGTTTACCTTGTGTCTTTGTAAGTGTAACCATGTGTGTGCTACATCCATAACTATGTAAAAACAATCCGACATTGGATGGAAAATAGAAATGATTCTTAATTTTTGAAACTTCTGTGAATTTTGTTATTAAATTAAGAACAACAGGGTATGGCTCGATAGGGGGAGTGAAATATGTGATCTCCATTTTTGTTTTGTAACTTAAGATAGTGTCTTAGGTATTGGTTGTATATGTTGAGTGAAGCCACGATGTATGTACGAATTAAATTAACATGTTGGAGTGGTTAGAGTAATTTTATCTAGTCATTGTCGGGACGCGATGCGCGTCCAAGTCCTTTACATCAAGAATAATTATGATGCATGTCTGTAATATTTTTGATAGTGTTAGAACGTTCGTTACTAAGGCTTGTGATGGAAATTAGGATTAAGTAGGTACTCGTAAACTATACTGTGTTAACCAGAACTTTAATAAAATATAATTGCTAATCTTTTGTGTGTTATTGTTGTCTCAGTTTGTCACTTACTCTTTCAGACGGGCGGGGCATGAGTGGGTGCCGGGCGAGCGGGGGCTGCGTCTAAATTACGGTCTCATATTTACGATCGGAGCTAAATCCGAGTCCAAGCCACGCCGGCGATTCGGTGACTCATCTTGACCATTTTCTCTGCGGCTTTGCAATGACGGAAGCCGACTGAGCGAAATTGGGTCAGTAAGAAGAAAGAGAGGTTTGCAGTGGAAGGGTAGCAGGGGGATGAGGAAATTTCAGTGAAACGGCGCACAGTGGGCCAGAGGACTGGTGGAGACGGCCAAAATTCTAGACGCGTTTTGAGCTCCAGAGTCGCTAAATGGGTCTCGAACCGAGGTTATGACCCCACCAATGGATTGCTCTCCGAACGAGGAATCCATTGGTGGGGTCACGCCGGTAAACGCGTTACGGATTTTGACCACCTCTACCGGTCTTCTGGCCCAGTAGCAGGGGGGAAAGTCTTACCCCCGTGGGTGTTTAGGTTGAGTGAGAGAGAATGCTCCCAAAAATTTACTCACGTTATTTATGGACAGTCCCAAACAGTCGGGGGGCGAGCATTCGCGGAATGCGCTTGGCGCCATGGGGCGCTGCTGCTGCTGCTTGGCTGGCCCACTGTGTGGCTGGCCCACTGTGTGGCTGGGCCACTGCGTGGCTGGGCCCGATTCAAGTTCCGGTAGCGAAAAGAGGTGGGTGAGTGGTCGCGCGGCCGTCGCGAAGGACGTCGCGGCGCGGCCGGCGAGGTCAGACCAGGTCCACCGCGGGCCCACCGATGAAAACAAAGGCAAGCAGCTCAGCAAAGTGGCCCACTTAAGATTCAGACTGCCCTTTTGCAAATTATAACATAAACATACTTTATCTGAATAAAAGGTAAAACACCTAACAAGGAAAAAGTAAATGAAAATGGAGCACATTGTATAATAGCGACAAATTTTACTTAAGAAAAGGGCGGGAGAGCTTCAAAAATTAAAACAAAGGCTTTTTTGGACCCCTTTGGCGTGCTTTTGGCAAGCTCGGTCCAATTACTCATTGCGGCGATGCCCGGCCTCTGCCGCTTCCGTCAGTCACGATGAAATCTGACTGCAGGTGAAAGACGGCGCGTGACTCAGCGGACGGGAAATGGTCGCCGCCCCTCTGTCTGTCCGAATTCGTCGCCGCCCACAGTGGGCCAGAAGACCGGTGGAGGCGGCCGAAACTCTAGACGCGTTTTGAGCTCCAGAGTCGCTAAATGGGACTAGAACCGAGCGTGTGACCCCACCAATGGATTGCTCTCCGAACGAGGAATCCATTGGTGGGGTCACACGTTTGGTTCGAGTCCCATTTAGCGACTCTGGAGCTCAAAACGCGTCTAGAGTTTCGGCCGCCCCCACCGGTCTTCTGGCCCACTGTGGGCCGGTCGGCCGCGTGTATCTCTCTCGCACCCACGCGCGATAGGCGACGAAAATAGGCCCGATGCTCGACGACGCTTGCGGAACCGAGAAGAGAAATCGCTCGGCCGCATGGCGCATGGGTGGCGGTGATCAAAGTGGAGGTCTGCGGAATATAGTGCGGTGTGCCGGACGCCGCCAAGTGCAAGGTCTGCAGGCCCGCAAGGTCGACAGCCAGTGTAGGCAGGCCTCGGATACACTGACGGCTCTCGTAGGAAATGAAGCAGATGAAAGAGCGACTTGGAAACGAGAAATGACAAAATTAATTAATATGCAGGAATGAATCTGTGCATATACCCTGCAGGTCAAAAACCAAACTTAAAACACATAGGAAGAGGAACATCGCACAGTGGACCAGAGGACTGGTGGAGGCGTCCAAAATTCTAGACTAACTTTGAGCTCTAGAGTCGCAAAATGAGACTCGAAGCGAAAGTGTGACCCCGCCAATGGATTGCTCTCCGAACGAGGAATCCATTGGTGGGGTCACACGTTCGCTTCGAGTCCCATTTAGCGACACTGGAGCGAGGGGGTAAACACTTCAAGAAATCGTGTACAGACTACTCGGTATTAGGCTGTATTACGGAGGTATTACACGTGTATTACGGCCTTAAAATGCAAAAATTTGGCCTATTTGACCCGAAAAAGGTATTACGACCACGTGTATTACGCGTAATACACGGTTTTTGTGTACAGGGTATTACGCGAGTGGTTACCCCCTCGCACTGGAGCTCAAAACGCGTCCGGGATTTCGGCCGCGTCCACCGGTCTTCCGGCCCACTGTGTGCTTACTGCTGACATGACCATTAGGCAGCCAAGCAGCAAGCGGCAGACACACTCGAAGCGCAGTTTGAGCTCCGCAAGTCCCCCGTCGCGCCTCAAGGGTGGCGGATCAGGCCAGCGGGTCTTTGAGGTGGACGGCGTGGGCCTCTGTGAGTCAGCACGGCGAGCCGTATTGCCACAACTATATATACCGGAGGGTGAGGGGAAAAGGGGGTAGGGGGGGTCTGTCGCCTGCCAGCACACCTAGCGCGGTCTTCTGGCAAAACAAAAGGTGAGAACTCATCGAGCAAGCATCGGGTGTGCGATAAACTCGCGTATAGCCACAATTCGACCCAGAAAAAAAATAGGAAAAAACTGCACATAAAAACCCAGAGCATTTACAGTGTTTGTTGCTGTAAAAAAGAAACACTCGGTCGGAAACGCCACTCGCTTTTTTAATGCTGTATAAAATACGCGGTGCTTTCTGTTCGTCGTCCCTCGATCGCTGGGAAGGCAGCCAGTTTCTGCACGGATCCAAATGGCCGTACTAAGTGCACGTTTCAGTCTGTTGGACGCAGTCGGACGCAAGCTGACGTTACTCAGACCCGAAAGCAGTCGCAAATCCCCACCTGGTCGCACCTTGAGGCTATACAGCTCTTTCTCTCTCTCTCTCTCTCTCTCTCTCTCTCTCTCTCTCTCTCTCTCTCTCTCTCTCTCTCTCTCTCTCTCTCTCTCTCTTGCCGGGGTCTCACTCGCTGCTTTGCAGTGGAGATTTAAATAGACGTTCTCGCCTAAAGGTATCCCCGACCTCTGCTGTGTTTCTCTCTCTCTCTCTCTCTCTCTCTCTCTCTCTCTCTCTCTCTCTCTCTCTCTCTCTCTCTCTCTCTCTCTCTCTCTCCCCCTCTCCGACGGTCCTGACCCAGTCTCGTTAAAGGACAATTAGTCACGGTGAACACCTGCGCAGGATTTCCTGGTTAACACACTGAAATAAAAACGTATCGAATTAAATTGAAATTAAAATGATAATTTTCCACAGTGACTCCGCTAAAGGCACGTCCTGGGTGCACAAAAGAAAGGTCTGGCAGGCTTTGGGCTCAGCGCCCACGTCGTCCAATGAATCTGAACCCAGTCTCTGGACTCGAACCAAAGAAAATCGCGTTGAATCAAGGTTTATTCGGCCCTGGAGCAAACGCTTTGTACTAACAGCGTCGTAAACTGAAAGCCAGCGAAGTGTCTGACGCCGTGTCCGTTGCAGGTGGCGGACGTCCTCACGGCCCGCGAGGACGTCGTCGGTGAGCGGCTCAGCCTCAAGAAGGGCGACCTCGTCGAGGTCCTGGACACGACTGGCGATGCCAAGTGAGTACACACTGGTGCGGTTGCACAGTGGGCCAGAAGACCGGTGGAGGCGGCCAAAATCCCGGACGCGTTTTGAGCTCCAGAGTCGCTTAATGGGAGTCGAATCGAGCGTGTGACCCCACCAATGGATTGCTCTCCGAACGAGGAATCCATTGGTGGGGTCACGAGTTCGGTTCGAGTCCTGTCTAGCGACTCTGGAGCTCAAAACGCGTCTAGAGTTTTGGCCGCCTGCGCCACTGTGCTTCGCCGACCTGCTTCACTCACCTTGCAGTGGCGGAGGGGGAGACTGGTCGTTGCCCCCCGTGTCGCGAGGACGGGGGGGCGTGTCCCTCTCTGTCGCACCCTCGGCCGACCAGGCCGACCTACCCCCGCCCCCACCGACGGACAGGCATAGTAGAGTAGAGCCATCTTACGCGAAGTCCGAGGAGGTTCATTCATGTACCGCGTGCTGCCGATCCCACAGTGGGCCGGCGCAGGCGGACAAAGCTCTAGACGCGTTTTGATCTCCAGAGTCGCTAAGTGGGACTCGAACCGAACGTGTGGCCCCACGGATTCCTCGTTCGGAGAGCAATCCATTGGTGGGGTCGCACGTTCGGTTCGAGTCCCATTTAGCGACTCTGGAACTCAAAACGCGTCTCGCCGGTCTCCCGGTCCACTGTGCGACCGAAGTACGGGAAGTGCAAGCACAACATGGTCTTGCATCCTCGTTGCTCTGTCTCTCTCGCACCCCTGCGGGACGCCCCGCGAGTGCGAGGGAGACAGAGTGCTCTTTGTTTCTGGGGCAGGGTAATTGGGGTGGGGCACCCCAGAGGAGCATTGCCCTGATGACGCAAGCCCCCTCCCCCCCCCTTTTTCCGAGTCTGCTCCACATTTACAATGCACCGTCGCTTGGCGGCTGCGCGGCAGCGCGTGGCCCGTGTTTTACTGACCGCGCAGCGCGACGCCTACCCTGTAAAAATTCGCACTGTTTTGAGAGACGTTCGAACAAAAATAAAATTCGCCGGAACGTTCCAACTTTTTAAATTTTTATATAAATCAGGAAATCATATAAATCAGGAATATTAATTCATCCGCCGCGGTTTGGTTCGCTCCGATGGTCGTGAGATTGGTGCCACCGCGTGATAGATTCGCCGCTGCACGCCATGCCACGCCACTGCCACGCCGCGCCGCGCCACGCCGCGCGCGTGGAGACACGCCCTCACTAACAACCCGGGAACGCCCAGCCAACACCACTTGGCAAAAAAAAAATTAAAATATTGGGTAAAAAATTGGTCGTGAAATAAAATCTACCTACGTTAACTTAAGTCAATTAGTATTTCAGAAATGCTCGAGGCAGGTCGGGTGAACGACGCAAATTGAAAATCAGCAGCGATAATCCAGCCAGAAAATTAAAAAAAAACGAAAACAAGACAGACCACGTGATCAACGGACTCGTTTCGCTTGCAGTGCAGCGGAAGGAGCAGAGCGTTTAGCAGACGAACAATTGTTATAGTTTGGAAAACAAAACCGTTTGTTAAGTTGTGAAAAGAAATTCTCGGTGTACAGATAAAAATAATAGCTCTGAGGCGGCTTGTTGAGGCAGGTTGTCCCTGCCTCACTCGCACGGGGCCTGAGGGGTCAATCGAAGCCCCAGTGGGGCTGTGTGGGGTATTGTGGGGCCCCGGCGGACCATGACGCTGGGCTGGCTCTACAGTGCTCGCTGTCTCTCTCGCTCCCGTGCGGAACGCCTCAGGGGAGAGAGAGTGAGTGAGAGAGAGAGAGAGAGAGAGAGAGAGAGAGAGGGGATGACGAAGAACGTTCGGAAGCAGCTTGCTGGGCCGTGGTAGGGCTGGGGAATCCCAACCGGACACGCTCCTCTCTCTCTCTCTCTCTCTCTCTCTCTCTCTCTCTCTCTCTCTCCTCTCTCTCTCTCCCGCCTCTCTCTCCGTCCCTCCCACTCCCTCACTCCGACGCCCTGTCGTCTGTGCCGCCGCCCCACCGGACCACCGACCGGACGCAACACAAAAATTGTCACGAAAGACAGAGTGCGTGCAGTTTTAACGAGCCCGTCAAGTCTCATGTCTCTCCGAATCGGACTCTGTGGTGTGTTCTTGCAGTCGTCTCAAAACGGTTTTGACCAACTTTGCGAGGCTGTTGCTCCCGCAGTAGCCCCTGTCAAAGCGTTCCCGAGGCGGGGCGCGAAAGAGGAGGGTCCAAAGGGCAGCAGGACGTTGAGTGAGTCCTGTACCCGTCAAGGTACTGAGTGAGCACGCTCTTAAGTCGGTTCGAGTCCCATTTAGCGACTCTGGAGCTCAAAACGCGTCTAGAATTTTAGCCGCCGCCAGCGGTCTTCTGGCCCACTGTGCAGTAGGGCTGTGGGTGGGTGGCAGGCAGGAAAAAGGGAGAGGGGGGGGGGCTCGTCAAGGGACGGGCAGCAAGGGCCGAGGGGAGGGAGTTTTAATGAGCAGACGCACTGCACTTGCAGTGACCTGGATCCGATTTAAACTAACCAGGCCACGCTTCAAACTGCGGCCATCGGGTGCACACACACCTACACACACGCACACACACACACACTAACGATGCCTAAGGTCACAGTGGGTGCGCCCCTGCTGTCCGCAGCCCGTTGGCAAAGACGCGATGACGGGGCGACGGAATCGAGTTCTGGCACACGTGTAGTACGCCACTCGAAATCCCCGTCAACCTGGAAACGGATTTCCCTTATTTTAAAATCACTTTTAAAAAAAAGTCGGGGAAAAGTTGAAAATTTACCGCGATTTTTCAAAAGCGGCTGAGGCTTCTGAATTTTCCATAGACTCTCTCGGCGCTTGTGAGAGAGCGGAGAGAGAGAGTGTGTGTTTAGAGGGTCGTCGACTGACGAATTGCTATTGCCTCTGCAGTTTCTCCCCTCCCCTCTCTCCCCGCTCCCCTGTCCCCGACGTCCCCTTCCCCCGCGCGGGGGTATTTTTAAATGGTGTCCAAGCGATCAGTCACGGCGCAGTGGTGCGACGAGGCACGAAAATAAAGTCCACTCCAACACCAATAGGTTAGGTAGGGCAAGGAAGGAGAAGGGGGTGGGGGCTACCCTCCTGCACTACAAATCAAAAAGTGGAGCAGCCTTTATGCTCGTTCGCGAGTGAGGCACCGCGTCATACTCTGTCTCACTCGCACCGCCGCTGTCGCCGCCTAGATTGATGTGCGACGGAGACGGAACGGTGTCACGCGGCCACACAGTGGGCCAGAAGGCCGGTGGAGGCGGTCAAAACCCCGGACGCGTTTTGAGCAAGAGTCGCAAACGGGGAACTCGAACCGAACGTGTGACCCCACCAATGGATTGCTCTCCGAACGAGGAATCCAACGGTGGGGTCAAACGTTCGGTTCCTGTGCGGTTTAGTGACTCTGGATCGGTCTTTTTGGCCCACTGTGCTGCGGCCAGCGAGCAGAGAAAATCGAGTCTCTATGGATAAAATAAGGTGTTGTTAAAGCATCTAAAACTTCAAAATATTCAGTATCTTTTTTTTCTGTTTGACAAGTGCGTGTTTGAAGGTGTGGCAATGACTGCCTCTCGTCGCAGCCTACATACCGCGTCTTTTGGGCCAAAGGTCAGCGAGAGAGAGAGAGAGAGAGAGAGAGAGAGAGAGAGAGAGAGAGAGAGAGAGGGTGCTGTTCTTTCAACATGCGGAGACAGAGAGAGAAAGAAAGACAGACAGACAGCACCAATCACATTAATGCCTGATCAATGAACGCTGATCGACTTGGACTTGGCTCCTGACTTTGGTGCGGGGGAGGGGGGGGGGAAGGCGTGCTGAAGTGAGTGAAGCAAGGTAATGGGGGTAAATAAACACCAAGCCGTCCAAACGTTCCGAGACAGGCTATGAAGGCTCTGCGCGGGGGGTCTCGGGAGGGGGGGCACGGAGCTGGGGGCTGGGGGCAACGCCCGGCGATGCCTGGGGGTAGCTACCCCTCCCCCTTCATTGTAACCTTTCAGGCGGTGGAATAGGGGGGGGGTCAGCCAGCGTCTGGCCAGGAGCTGTCCTGCCGTCGCTCTGTCTCTCTCGCACTCGAGGGACGTGCCGGGCGGGTGCGAGAGAGACCGCTGGCACACTGGTGTACTCTCGTCCTTCCCCTCGGTACGACGGAAAAGTGATAAATCCACCGTGTTCCGAGGCGAGACGGAGTGACAGAGTGGCGTCCCGCGCTGGCACCCACGGCGCGCCCGTAATTTAAACAAAATCTTTTCTTTTTTTTTTTTTCGCGGTGTAGGGTTCAAAGACTGTGTTCTGTTCCTCCTTTTTTCTCGTGTTCGACGCCGGATGGGAGGTGCACGAAGCACAGGCGGCCGCAGGGCCGGTGGAGGCAGCCAAAACTCTAGAAACCTTTTGAGCTCTGTCGCTAAACTGAATTCTAACCGAACGTGTGACCCCACCAATGGATGGATACCCCGTCGGAGAGCAATCCATTGGTGGGGTCACAAGTTCGGTTCGAGTCCCGTTAAGCGATTCTGGAGCCCAAAACGCGTCTAAAGTTTTAGCTGCCTCCCACCACCGGTCCTCTGGCCCACTGTGCGAAGCTCCCCGGGAAAGCGAGCACCCGGAAGTCTGGTCCACTGTGAAGGGTGGGAGGGGCTCACCTGTCGACTTCCGGCATGGGCCAACAGCCCGCCGCCAGGGCCTTGCGTCACCCGGCTCTTGGCAGGAGCCAGTTATTACCTCTCGTTATTGGTCGGCTCGTCGGCCTGACACGCCGCGGTCGCGGGTTCGACTCCCGCCGGGTGACTTATCGCTGTTTCGTTTCTTCCCGCAGACGACCCCGCCTCGACCTCGACCTGCACGGCGACCCCGACCTCGACCTGGGCCTCGGCGCCGACGCGGCCTCGCTGCTGGACAACTCGTCGGCCAGGCACAAGATGAGCATCCGGCCGAAGCGGCGCCACGGCGACCCTCGCGCCAGGTCGCAGGACTCGCAGGACCGGGACGCCAGGTACAGTCACATTTTGTTTTCGTTTTGCGGGTACACTAAAGTCGCTGAACAGGACTCGAATTTACCGTGTGACCCCACCAATGGATTCCTCGTTCGGAGAGCAATCCATTGATGGGGTCACACGTTCGGTTCGACTCCCATTCGGCGACTCTGGAGCTCAAAACGCGTCCGGGGTTTTGACCGTCTCCACCGGTCTTCTGGCCCACTGTGTACCCTCGCCGTTTTTGTTCCGCGACGTCCGCCAACCGAGGCGCCCTTGGCGGGGTGGAACGAAAAATAAAACATATTAAGTGGGTATTCGAACCTTGGAACTTGACACTGCGTCGTGTCGCTTTGTGCGGCGCGCGGCGTGCCAGAGGCAGCCAGAGGCCTGCAACCGCAGAGCACCTCACATTGAGCCGCTTGGCGGTCGCACGAGACGGACTCTGCCAAACCGCGCACGCCGCGCACCGCGTGCATAGTAAACACCGTCGTGATGGAGGGTTACACGATCGCCCGCCCCGGCACGCCCGCCCTGTCGGGACGCACAGTGGGCCAGAAGGCCGGTGGAGGCGGCCAACTCTCTAAACGCGTTTACAGCTCCAGAGTCGCTAAACATGGCTAGAACCGAACGTGCGACCCCACCAATGGATTCCTCGTCCGGAGAGCAATCCATTGGTGGGGTCACACGTTCGGTTCGAGTCCCATTTAGCGACTCTGGAGCTCAAAACGCGTCCGGGCTTTTGGCCGCTTCCACCGGTCTTCTGGCCCACTCAGGGATGGGAGGGGAACCCCAGAGCGCCGACCCGGCCGAGGCCACGAGAGTCCTGAACACAATGCGGCAACCTCTCGGACAATTATAAATAAATAAATTCAGGACACCATGCTGCAGCCTTCGAGAAAATGGACCGAAATAATATTTGTTTTTGAATGTTGTTGCGTTTTCGCAGGTGGCTGGTGCGCCTGGTCAGCGACCCCTCGCAGACTGGCTGGATTCCCGCCTCCAGCCTGGAGCGCCGCCCCAGCACGTGCTGGCCGTCGCCGCCCAGCGCGGACCAGCGGCACGGCGACGAGGGCCGCGGCCAGGACGCCGTCTTCAGGAGGGAGTAAGTGCTGCCTTTCTCTCCGAACGAGGAATCCATTGGTGGGGCCACACATTTGGTTCGAGTCCCATTTAGCGACTCTGGAGCTCAAAACGCGTCTCGAGTTTTGGCCGCCTCCACCGGTCTTTGGCCCACTGTGCGGTAGAGGAGGGAGGGGGTGACGGTGCGCCGTGTCATAAGCCCTTTGCATCGCGATGAAAATAGCGGGACGTGTCGGGACGCCGCTTCGCAGGGTTCGTCCCGCCTGGTTCCGCTGACCAGACCCGACCAGACGCCACCAAGGTCCTTTACCCCGCGCGACCTACCCCAACGACGCACGCTGCCGCAGGCTACCGCAGGCCAGGCCGTCGGGGTGGCAACCCAATGGGAAAATAACTCCAGCCAAATTTGTTAACCGAAATTCATCAAACATCTAAAACTCATTAAAATCAATTAATTAAAATTCGTCGAAATTCAACTGATATTTATCGAAATTCGACTGAAATTCATCGAAATATAACTGCAATTCATTCGACTTCGACTGAAATCCTTCGAAATTAGACGGGAATCCATTGAATTTGTACACCAAAATTCACAGTGATTTCTCCATGTGACAACCACTCCTCTGGGAGTACGCTACTCTGCGTTTTTGACGATTCGATGTGCAAGTGAAACGCGGGCAAATCAGAAAAAACAAGATACTTGCAAACAGGTTCGTGCTGGAGGATTTTTTAAATTTGTTCAAAGTGACGATTGCGGTCTCGAATAGGCATTTTGATTTTTTAGTTCGGCGTGACGCGTTTTCTTTTTCCCGGCCGTTTTCTGCGCCGGCTCTCGGAACGCCGTGTTTTGAAGCGGAACAGGCGTCGAGCGCGGGATTCCCACCGTTTCTCGGAATCGCTGCTCCTGCACGCTCAGTCGATTCGTCTAACTCGCCCATAAACAGAAAACCCCGCTCCTTGCTGTCGAACATCTTGCGAAGGTAAAATTTTCGACCCACGAACCTTTTTTAGCAGATGATACCTTTACTACTTCAAAACATACCTAGAGCAATACAAGACACGTAAAGGTGTCAGCTAGTTTTTACTCGAGAGTCCACTTAAGTGTGTATCCCAATTTCTGTTTACTTGGTTTCGATTATTTGAATTTTTTAAATATTTGACTATCGCAAAAAAATTGTCTTCATCATCATTATCAGTGCTGTTTGGCCGCGGACGCTAAAATATTCATGAGATGAAATTGGAGATGGAGAGACATGGCTGCGCCCGTCGCCACTGGCGTCGTCTGCTGCAGCGAAGGGTCAGCGTGCGTCCGGTCGGCCGCCCCAGATCCGCGACCGCAGCACAGTGGGCCAGAAGACCGGTGGAGGCGGCCAAAACTCTAGACGCGTTTTGAGCTCCAGAGTCGCTGAATGGGACTCGAACCGAACGTGTGACCCACCAATGGATTGCTCTCCGGACGAGGAATCCGTTGGTGGGGTCACACGCTCGGTTCGAGTCCCATTTAGCGACTCTGGAGGAGCTCAAAACGCGTCAGAAGTTCTGCCGGTCTTCTCGCCCACCGTGCGTCTCTGTCGCACTGCCGCCTCGCTGAAGTGCCTGTCCGAGGAGGCTGCCTCGCGACGCCCGGCCCCGACGTTTACCGAGTTACAGATGCGAGTGAGGGGGCAAAATGGCGTGTGTTGTGGCAGCTGCGAACAGAGGGTGCCGCCTGGTGCCGCACGCCGCGCCGCGCTCCCCGCACTCCCCGCACTCCCCGCACTCCCCGCACTCCCCGCACTCCCACGCGGTGCACGAGTACTCGGCACGGCACGGCACGGCACGGCACGGTGACTCCCGAGCCGTATTTCAATCAGATTGGCGTGGTGCTGGTGCTGCCCCGCCAAGCGCACGGCGACAGCAACGGTCCGCGGGAGTAACAACAAAAGTCGGAAATTGTATTTCAAAACGAGGCTGTATCACTGGGAGTGTTCACGTGGGTGTAGGGGAGACGATGGGGACGACTGGACAAGGCTCTCTGCGAGAGGACCTCCACGCCTGCTGAGTAGGCAACGCGAGCGCACGGATGCGTCCTGGTGGCAGCATTGCCTACCAGGCAGGCGCTGCACAGTGGGCCAGAAGACCGATGGAGGCGGCCGAAACTCTAGACACGTTTTGAGCTCCAGAGTCGCTAAACGGGACTCGAATCGAACGTGTGACCCCACCAATGGATTCCTCGTTCGGAGAGCAATCCATTGGTGGGGTCACACGTTCGGTTCGAGTCCCATTTAGCGACTCTGGAGCTCAAAACGCGTCTTTGGCCGCCTCATTCGCTTGTTTTCTTGGAGGCCGGTGTGGCCAGAAGTGCATGATCTTGCCTGCTGCAGAGCCAGGGGGGGCGGTCTATACTTGCCACACCGCAATAAAATAAAAATCTATTATAATTTTTAGAACTTTTTCTTAATTTTGTTAATTTTTTTTTCAGGGCCGTGGTCCGGGAGCTCGTGGAGACCGAGGAGGAGTTCGGCAGGGACATGCGGCACGTGGTGGAGCGCTACATGCGGCCCGTGGACTCGGCCTCCGTGCCGCGGGTGGTGCGCGACAACAAGACCCTCGTCTTCGGCAACCTCAAGGAGATCGCCGAGTTCCACAACACGTGAGTAACAGTGGGCCAGAAGACCGGTGGAGGCGGTCCAAATTCCGGACGCGTTTTGAGCTCCAGAGTCGCTAAATGGGACTCGAACCGAACGTGTGACCCCACCGATGGATTGCTCTCCGAACGAGGAATCCATTGGTGGGGTCACACGTTCGATTCGAATCCTGTTTAGCGACTTTTGAGCTCAAAACGTGTCTAAGAGTTTTGGCCGCCGGTGCTGGTCTTCTGGCCCACTGGGCACGACCGGGACCTACACTCCCTACATTGGCACACATTGTCATTGGCCCTCAACATTCATTTCTGCAAAAGGTGGAATGTCGAAATTGTTTTTACTTTTTGTTACACCGACCGAGATTATGGTCGCCTTAAAAATGTGGCATCGCTTTGAAGATGTCCTGAAACCGATAAACAATAAGCCTCCGTATTGTCTTTTTTTTGCTTGTCTTTTTTTCGGGTGTGTCGAAATGACACAACGGCGACCCCTCCGTCCTGCAGGACCTGCATGGCGATAAAAGTGGGGAACTGTGCCGCGAAAATAGCCGCGCTGTTGCACGTAAAGCCTGTCTCGAATACCACCATAGAATGGATGTCAAAGACACCGTAAAACCGGCCGCGTTTGATGTGCCTTTTATTTGTTGTTGATGTGGGCGAGGTGAGTCCCGGGCCAGTCTTCGGCCGGCTTGCTGAAACCGTGTCGTCTGTTGCAGTGTGCTGATCGAAGGCATCAAGTACTACGCCGACGAACCGCGCATGATCGGGAAGACCTTCTTGAGGCTGGTGAGTGGCGTTCACAAGGCGCACAGTGGGCCAGAAGACCGGTGGAGGCGGCCGAAACTCTAGACGCGTTTTGAGCTCCAGAGTCGCTAAATGGGACTCGAACCGAACGTGTGACCCCACCAATGGATTCCTCGTTCGGGGAGCAATCCATTGGTGGGGTCACACGTTCGGTTCGAGTCCCATTAAGCGACTTTGGAGCTCAAAACGCATCTAGAATTTTGGTCTCCTCACCGGTCTTCTGGCCTACTGTCATGGCCTGTCAGAGGAGGAGTGTTCGAAACTTTAGCAAGTTTAGAAAAAAAGAACGTGCTATTTTTCGCCGCCTAGCGGCCCGGAAGCCGGGCGGAAGACGCCGCTAACCCCGTTCCGTCTAACTTAAGACTTTTTTTTCCCCCGCGTGGAGCGACCGAGCCGGACCACCACGCTCTCAGCACGTGTTGGGGAGGGGAGGGGGTGTTTACACGGGGAACCCCGCTCCGCTCCGCTCCCCTCCGCCCCGCCACACCCTACCCTGTCCTGCCTTACCCACCGCGCCTTGGGTCTTGGCTGCCCCGTCGGAGCGCGGCGAACGAACACTCTGAGAACACACGATCAAAAATCGACAAGGCTGTGAAAGAGTTGTCGTTGTTTTCAATTTTCGGAACCGCAAAGAAATAAGTTTTTGTAATGAAATGCGTGCTTTCCAATCACTCCTTCGAGTGAATAACTTCGCGTTTCGTCCTCGGTGTTCCAGGAGCGAGACTTCGACAAGCACGTCGCCTACTGCCGGGACGAGCCCCTGGCCCAGGAGTTCCTGCAGGACACGCCGCAAGCCAGGGACTTCTACGAGGTGAGCCAGAACCTGTCGCACCGTGGGCCACAACACCCCGGTGGAGGCGGTCTAAATTCTAGACGCGTTTTGAGCTCCAGAGTCGCTAAACGGGACTCGAACCAAGCGTGTGACACCACGAATCGAGGGGGTATTCACTGCTGTAATAGTCTGTTCACCTTGGCCGTAATAATGCCTGTAATAATGGGTAATAACGCGTAATAATGTGTAATAATGTAAAATAATGTAAAATAATGTAGAATAATGTAAAATAATGTGTAATAATGTGCAATAACGTGTAATAACACGTAATAATGCGTAATGTACGCATTTTGTACTGAAATTTTGGCACATATTGGCTACAAAATGAAAGTGGTCTTAATTTGCTACTCTGTGCAGCAATATTCTACCCTTCCGGTGGTCCCGCCATCCTTTCTGTCTTCCCCCGTCTTCCCTTACCCTTCCCTACCCCTTCCCCCCACTCCCCGATGTTCATGTTGGCGGGAAACGGCACGGTGGAGTGGCTGATTTCATGAGGCTGCGCACACTTGGATCAGAGCAAGAAAGGTTGCCAAGAATATTTGCCGCTGCGGGAAAGCTCAAAAAAAAAAAACTTCTCAAGGAAACAAAGAGAAAGCTCATAGAAAAGCTGAGTGAGGGGTTTACTATCCGTACGCAGCTTTTTCATTGAAACTCACTGTTCTTGGTTACACCCTTACAACAAATATGAAACAAAATTTAGAATAAAATAAATTTTGGTTAAAATTCCTTTGCAGATTATTGGACAAAATAGTAAAATCATGCTCTCCTGAAAATCTTTAGAAATCCTATCGGTAAGGTGGGGTATTGGGAAAAAAATCCATCGGAATCTCTCTGCTCATTCAAACAAACTTAAAATTTTAGTAGCATGTAAGTGCATTCTGTAATATGAAAAACTACAGTTGAATGGCGAACACGGGAGGGGGGCAAGGTGGTGCTGGGCTTCCCTTTCGGTCAAAAACGACCGTAATAATGACTGTAATAATCCTGTAATAATCCTGTAATAATGCGTAATAATGTAAAATAATGCAAAATAATGTGTAATAATGTAAAATAATGTGTAATAATGTAAAATAATGTGTAATAACGCGTAATAATTGTAATAAGCGTAATAGCGACTACTCTGTGCGCCAGTTTTCGAAGTGAATACCCCCTCGCCACGAATGGATTCCTCAGTCGAAGAGCAATCCATTGGTGGGGTCACACGTTCGGTTCGAGTCTCATTTAGCGACTTTGGAGCTCAAAACGCGTCTAGAATTTTGGTCGCCTCCACCTGTCTTCTGGCCAACGTTCATGGCCTGTCAGAGGAGGAGTCTTCGAAACTTCAGCAAGTTTAGCAGAATAGATTCGGGCAGCCCGCGGGACCGCCCCACTGGGTTCATGTCGCGCTTCTCGAAATCGGGGGCGTTGGCCAACCTGTGACACAGGTCCTGTGTCGGGGAATCAAACGGCGGCTTGTGCTGACAGGGAAGCCCGTGTTGAAAGCGCAGTATCCCCCCCCCTCCCTCTCTCTCTCTCTCTCTCTCTCTCTTCTTCTCCTCTCTCTCTCTCTCTCTCTCTCTCTCTCTCTCTCTCTCTCTCTCTCTCTCCACCCCCCTCACGAGACTGAGTCTGCCCGACAGACAAGCGAAGCAAGCAATCCGAAAAACAACAAGGGACCTGTTGAGAGCGGCCGGGGGTGGGGGGTGACTGCGCGGGGTAGTCACGACGCCTGTTGGCGATACTCCCCGTTCGCAGGGCCTTGGCACCCGGCCAGGGCGGCAATACCCCACGCCGAGCAGGAAGGGTGGCCGATCTTCCCGGCGCTGGTCGTCGCGGACGCCTCTCGATTTCGGCACGTTTCGCACACTGCCGAACGCGTGCTCTAGATCCCCCGCGGACTCTTTGCTTCGTCCGAGTAGAACTTTAGGGTTGTCGCCCGACGGTGGCAAAGCAGAGTACGAGCAGCGTGCGTCTAGTGCGTGGCCACCCTACCTTCAAGCGGCCAGACGCGTGGCCACCCTAGCTCGCGTCTGCTATTATTGTCTGTGCGGCCGCCCCGTGACCAGCCCTAGCGCGCTCGGGAGGATCAACGCACTTCAAACACAACACGTTTTTTCTGCGATAATTTTTTTTTACTTTTTTTCAAGAGTCAATTACGAATCCCGTCTTATTTTTAAGAGACTGAAACGCAGCGCGGCGCGCGTTCAGGTCCCTTCTCTAATGAGGCGGATCTGGTGTGTCGAGTGATCGCTCCGTCTCTGTCGCACTTGCAGGGCGTCCCATAGCGTCCCCTGCGTGCGAGAGAGACAGGGAGGCGTGACCTGGCAGGCGGCCGCGATGGCCTTGGCGCCGCACAGTGGGCCAGAAGACCGGTGGAGGCGGCCAAAACTCTAGACGCGTTTTGAGCTTCAGAGTCGCCAAATGGGACTCGAACCGAACGTGTGACCCCACCTATGGATTGCTCTCCGAACGAGGAATTCATTGGTGGGGTCACACGTTCGGTTCGAGGCCTGTTTAGCGACTCTGGAGCTCAAAACGCGTCTAGAGTTTTGGCCGCCTCCACCGGTCTTCTGGCCCACTGTGCGCCGCCAGCGTGGCCGAAGAGGAGGGTGGTCCGTAACACTTGTGGGCTGCGTGGACGCCGCCGGTGTCTGCCGCCATGGATTCTCGGCAAACGCCCCCACCGCCACCACCGCCCCACGCGCACCCACGCAAGGTCGACCGGCCCGTGCGAAGGCAAGGCCTGCCCGCCTCGATGTAGGCTACTGGGCCGAAGGCACGCTGAAGGCGTCGCGCCGCACCTCCAGAGCATCCCCTCATCCTTCCACAGTGGGCCAGAGGACCGGTGGAGGTGCGTTAGACGCGTTTTGAGCTCCAGAGTCGCTGAACAGGGCTCGAAAAGAGCATGTGACCCCACTAGTGGATTCCTCGTTCGAAGAGCAATCCATTGGTGGGGTCGCACGGTCGGTTCGAGTCCCATTTAGTGACTCGGGAGCTCAAAACGTGTTCAGGATTTTTGACCGCCTCCACTGGACTTCTGGCCTACGATGCCTCTCCTAGACCCAGAGAAGACACAGTCAAGAGACAAAGCACTTGAAAAACAAATATGAAATCCATCAAGTTTGGATGTTCTCTCTGGCGCTGGCAGCGCGCAGTGCTTGGCTCGCTTTGTAATGACTGCGAGTGTGTCACAGTGTCGGTGCAGGCCGCGGCCCATTACCAGGCGACTCGTTCATTAAACGGGGCACTTATGACAGCCAAGCGCGCCGCGGCACAGTGGGCCAGAAGACCGGCGCAGGCGGCAAAAAACTCTAGACGCGTTTTGAGCTCTTGAGCCGCTAAACAGGACTCGAACCGAACGTGTGACCCCACCAATGGATTGCTCGTTCGGAGAGCAATCCTTTGGTGAGGTCACACGTTCGGTTCGAGTCCCATTTAGCGACTCTGGAGCTCAAAACGCGTCTAGAGTTTTGGCCGCCTGCGCCGGTCTTCTGGCCCACTGTGCGTGGACGCCGTCATCGCCGTGATCATGGCGGAGTCGGGCGGAAACTCTGCCGGCCTGTTTCTGCCGGTGCATCGGATGCATCAACACGCTGCAGTTTACGCTGGCTGATGCTTCGAGGGCCGCCCCCGCGCCCCTTGCCCCCGCGCCGCCCCCCGCCGCCTCCGTCGCCCACAACCTCCGACCGCGGTGGCGGCGGGCGGCGGCCCCGCCCCCGTCCCGGCCCTCCGGTCGGCGCTATTTCTGTTTGGCAAGCAGTTCACCGGCAGGCAGGCCGCCTAGCCCTACGACGCCAGGCCGGCCAGGCCGCGTCCAAACCTGCCCCACCAGCGACTGGCGGACTGGCGCTGGGGCCCCGCCCCGCCCGGCCCCCGGTGGCGCATTTCTGTTTGGGATTCCCGGCCGCAGGAGCCCTAGCGAGGCTCGTGTCTCTGCCGGTAAAACCATGGTACCGGTTACCGTGTGGCGCCATGGGACGCCCGTAGCGGCGAAGAGTTAGGCGATTTCCAGGACCTTTGCTGGGTGACAGGTTCTGCTGTTTCTACCGTGTACCGTCTGATGGGCGTCCCGTACGGGCGGGGAGTCGAAAGTTCGTTAAGACACAGACACCTGCCCTTAGCTTCGGGTGACGTTCGTGGCTTGCTTTCCTGCGGACACGAGTAAACCGTTCTGGAATGCGGGCCTGACACCCTGGAGCGCCTGGCATCTCTGGGTAGGCAATCCGCAGACACCACTGTGTCGCTGGACGCGTGGTTGCCTACCTCGCAGGCGTTTACAGGCCAGGAGGCCGGTGCAGGCGGACAAGATCCTGGACGCGTTTTGAGCTCCCGAGTCGCTAAACAGAACTGGAACTGGACGGACGTGTGACCCTACCAATGGATTGCTCTCCGAACGAGCAATCCATTGGTGGGGTCACACGTTCGGTTCGAGTCCCATTTAGCGACTCTGGAGCTCAAAAACGCGTGTAGAGTTTTGGCCGCCTCCACCGGTCTTCTGGCCCACTGCGCCACTCCCACTCGCCTCGGGCATGTCCTAGGGCGTCGTGTCGGCGGCGGCGGCTGCGAGGAGGTGGATGCTGACACCGCCAACGACTCCCAGTGGGTCCCTCTGACTCACTGAAAGCCCGCCACAACAGTCTGGGGAAAGGGCAACCGAGAGTCTGGGTCAGGCGGACAAAGACGGCAAACAGGATTGGCCAAAAGGCTCGTCTCGGCGAAGGCAAAGCCGAGCCGAAAGAACGAGAATGCAAGAAAAGGCAAAGTTCACAACAGAAAGATATAAGGAAAAGGAAACTGCACCAAGTTAAGTTAACAACAACAAAAAATAAAGATTTGTATACGTTTCTAATAAAACTCAAGGTGTTTGCACTGGCATTTCGCGCGCAAGCTACGCCCCCGGCCTCAGCAGAATTAGACGGATCTCGAATCGGATGCCGTCACTTCGGCCGGGCGCTGCCTGCACCGCGAGGAGGCGAAGGAGGCCATCTTCACCCCGTAAAACTGGTGCCGGATCCGGCGTCATCCCAACTGGCTGAGCGGTCAGATTAAACATCGCGTAAACATTTGTCATTTTAGGTGTCAGTATCTTGTAAAGCGTCAGGAGCGTCTCAGAGTGGACCAGAAGACCGGTGGGGGTCGTCAAAATTCTAGACGCGTTTTGAGCTCCAGAGTCGCTAAACGGGACTCGAACCGAACGTGTGACCCCACCAATGGATCGCTGTCCGGACGAGGAATCCATTGGTGGGGTCACACGTTCGGTTCGAGTCCCATTCAGCGACTCTGGAGCTCAAAACGCGTCTAGAGGTTTGGCCGCCTCCACCGGTCTTCTGGCCCACTGTGTGATCGGCGAATCGACGCCGTGCCCGCACCCTTCGCCTTGGGGCGTCCCCAAGGGCGACGGCGGCCTAAGCCCCATAGCGCGGCGGCTGCGGCGGCCGGTGGGAGGGGCCGCATTTAGCCGTTATTGCCGCAGTTTGGATCATGTGCACGTCGCTCTGTCTCTCTCACGGCGTGTCTGTCCGGCCGGCCCTGTCTGTCTGTCTGCCGCGCGCCCTTCTGTCTGATCAACCTGTGAATCACGCTGCACCGCAAGGTACACAATACCGTCCACGCCGCCGGTGCGAAGGGGCGTGAGAACCTTCCGGCGGGGGGTGGAGGGGGGGGGGGCTGCGGGGAAGAGAGGCAGGGGGCTGTGCGTGCGAGGGGGAGCGGGGCGCGTGCGAGAGCGAGTGAGAAAGCCCGCGGGTTTGCGTCGAAATCTAAACTTAGCGCCGACTCGGCCCTCATTTGGTTGGCAGAACCTCAGTCGCCGCCCATCTCCCACGGCCGCTGCGTCGCCCCAAGCGTCGCCCAGCACGCCGCCTTGCACGCCGCCCCCCGACGCGACGCGCTAGCGCGAGCTCGCCGCCCGAAACCCGCCAATTTTCGAAAACCGGGAAATTCCGCGCGGAGTTTTACGACTCGCGAGTGGCGTGTGTGAAGTGTGCGTGCCGTGGTGTGAGGGTGGCCGCGTACGCCGTTTTGTGGATTACCTGACCTCACCCGCCGGGAGCCGCGTCAGCCACAGGTGGGTGGGGGCTCGGCCTCGCTCGGCTGGCGAGCTGGAAGGAGGGGAGAGGGGGTAGGTTCCGAGAGGGGGATGCACGGTGGCCACATGATCGGGAAAACCTGGAAAACCGACGGAAAATGCGTGAAATGCCTGTAAATTTTTAAAAAGTTGAAAAAAAAAACGGGAATTTTTGAATTTCCGGCCATTCTAACCGTTTTAATGCAGATGTGATTTAAATGTTCGTCCCCTAAAATCGTCGTTTAGACCCGGGAAAACTTGCCGGGGAAAAAACGGGAAAAAGCAGGGATTTTTTTGGCGACCCTGTGGTCACCCTGTGGAAGGAGGGGAGAGGGGGTGGAGAGGGGGCTGCGCCGGCTGTCATATTCCTTAAACGAATTTTTGTGAAGCAGTCTTCAACGCAAGTAATCCAACCTAAAAGTTGAAATAAAAATATTTTAGTAAGTTTGATAAATGTATTCGGCGAGTGGTGCGGTTTAAAATTTATTGACACGCTGGTGGTAGCTTAGAAATGCAGCCCAATTAGGTTCAGGGACTTCACCTGCCCCTGTCCCTAGCACGTGGCTTTTTCACTCAAGATAATCTTAGTTCAAGACTGCTCAAGGAGCAGTTCATAACAAACACTTCGAAAAAAAATTTAATTCTGCTCTTATTGTTGTCTTTTGTTTTTGTTCTCGCTATTTTTGTTAGTTTGTTTCAACACAAAATTAAATTTTGTTTGGATAATAGCTGAGGAATAGAGGAAATAAAATCCATGAGTGAATGAACCAAAAATGTTCTTTTTGATTTTGAAAATCACCGTAGAATTACAGCATTGGAAACACCGCACTTTTTTGAAAATAAACATATGTATTTTTCAGTTAATTTATTTCAGCTCAAAATATTTTAACTGTCCGCACGTGTTGATTCATAACCAACTGTTTAATTTCGCCGTTGGGTCTTCTGGCTCCTGGCGTCTTTCTAGACAGTGTGCCCACCCGGCATACCCGCATCTGTCGGCGCCGTCGCTAGTGACAGCGACTGTAGGACCGGTTGGGGTGGGGGAGGGCAGAGCGGGGCAGAGGGCCCGCACCCCTCACTGTAGGGCCCAAACAATCGGACAATGGAGCGGCGGCGCCGCGCCACGCGACGCCAGCTGCCAGGAAGCTCTGAATTCTAAATGCGCCCCGGTATGCAATCATTTGGAGCTCATTCCACAGCCATGGAACGCTCTGCCGCCGGCTTATTAGCACGCGAAGGCTGATTGATGTTGGCCAACGACAATGCGTGAACGTCAGTGTCGCCGTCACACAGTGGGCCAGAAGACCGGCGCAGGCGGCAGAAATTCTAGACGCGTTTTGTGCTCCAGAGTCGCTAAATGGAATTCGAACCGAACTTGTGACCCCACCAATACATTGCTCTCCGAACGAGGAATCCATTGGTGGGGTCACACGTTCGGCTTGAGTCCTGTTTAGCGACTCTGGAGCTCAGAATGCGTCTAGAGATTTACCCGCCTGCGGCTCCGAAACGCCTGCGAGGTAGGCAACCACGCGTCCAGCGACGCAGTGGTGTCGGCGGATTGCCTACCCAGAGATGCCAGGCGCTCCAGCCATGCCTGCAGGAAGGCATTTCCACCGGTCTGCCCCACTGTTTGACGACGCAGCTGGAAATAGAAGCTTCGAAAGAGAGATTCGAAATCACGAGAAGGTCGTTGGCCTTTGAATGACACTTTGCATCACGAAACCTGCTATGGTAGAAGTTCGGTCGGCTAGTTGTTTTTTTGTTGGTGGTGTTGATTTTGCACCGTAACTTGACTTAACGAATACCCGATAATCTACGGGACTCAGTACAACTTTGTTGACGTGGCTGTGGTAAAAAGCTACGGAAAATTCTGTAAACAGCTTGTGGTAATTCTCCGTAGGCCCCTTATCAATATTCTCCGTAGGCTCTTACAGTATTTTCTGTAGGACCGCACAGTCTTCTCCGTAGGACCGCACAGTGATCTCCGTAGGACTATACAGTCTTCGAGGTCCTACGGAGAAGACTGTGCGGATTTACAGAGAATACTGTGCGGCCCTACGGAGAATACTGTAAGAGCCTACGGAGAATATTGATAAGAGGGCTACGGAGAATCCTGGCAAAAAAATTAACAGGATTTTCCGTACCTTTTTGCCACAGTGTGCTTACAAGCATGCTCTTCTAGGTGTGTACTTGCCTAAGCACGCACCTAGAAGTGTGTACCTGACTGAGTACACACTTATAAGTGTGTACTTAGTGAGTACACACTTGCGAGGTGCATGCGCGGCATAGGAAAAACGCATGCACTTCTATGTGTGTACTCACTGAGTACACACTTATAAGTGTGTACTCACTAAGTACACACTTCTAGGTGCGTGCTTAGGCAAGTACACACCTAGAAGTGCATGCTTGTAAGCACGCACCTAGAAGTGTGTACTGAGTACACACATAGATTTTGTGTGTACTCTGCCCGTTGATTAATCTTTGAAACGCCAGCACTTGTTTAGTTATGTAAATGCTTATGTTTATGGTAGTGTATGGAAAATTTGGAAACAATTAGTGACCTTCGCCGCAACTAACAGAGTGAAACTTCAGTCCGGTGGGGCGTTATGCTTTTCGTGGAGGGATCCATTTACTCTGACGTGCTTTTGACGTTCCATCTCTCCGTAGGCTGAGGCGGGAGGCCTGGCATGAGAAAAACGGGGGCGGGTCGTCTCGAAGACCACATGTTGCTCGGCATTGCCAACGTAAATACTCCTCCCTCCACCAAGCGGGGGGGGGGGGGGTTCGTCTCGAAGACCACATGTTGCTCGGCATTGCCAACGTAAATACTCCTCCCTCCACCAAGCTGGGGGGGGGGGGGGGGTCGTCTCGAAGACCACATGTTGCTCGGCATTGCCAACGTAAATACTCCTCCCTCCACCAAGCTGGGGGGGAGGTCGTCTCGAAGACCACATGTTGCTCGGCATTGCCAACGTAAATACTCCTCCCTCCACCAAGCTGGGGGGGAGGTCGTCTCGAAGACCACATGTTGCTCGGCATTGCCAACGTAAATACTCCTCCCTCCACCAAGCTGTCCGTTCCGGCTTCTAGTTTACCACCAACGGATTCATGGCTTTCGCATTTGCAGAAGAAATGTTTAGAATGGGCCAAATTGGAAAAGTAACTTCAGCGGGAAATCTTGGAACTGTCAATGGTCTTGCTGTCTAAAGTGAGGACGAATCTTGTTCGTAATAACTCAGCGTTACGCCGGCTGTGGCTTTCGCTTAAAATTTGGATTGACTTCTTCATGCTGCGCGGCGGAACGTGACCTGAAAACTTGGGCTGTGAAAGCTTTCTTAGAGGCAAAAACAGCCCCTATGGAGAAATACAAAATTTACCCAAATTGTCTTTGGTGATGTGTGTCTGTCAAAAATGCCGCCAAAACTTAAATCTCTCCTTTCATGTTGCAGGAACTCAGCCAGAGACTTGGCGACGACAAGAATCTACCCGAACACCTCAAGCTCCCGATTCAACGCATCAACGACTACCAACTTTTACTAAAAGTAAGTTGCGGTCACAATAGAGAATCATCTAGAGAATCGTCCACGCAGAATCAGAATCAAAGCTTTTAAATTTAATCACGGGAAAATATCGCAGCATAGCGTGGTCTCTGATGATTTTTGAGGGTCCGTGGAATGACTGCTGGTCAAGAGCAGAACGTCAACATAATAACCTGACCAAGGCCTGTGTGCTTCTGGCCGGCAGCCTGGCGCCCCAGCGCCCGCGCGCGCGCGTGTGTGTGTGTGTTTGTGTGTGTGTGTGTGTGTGTGTGAGTGTGTGTGAGTGTGTGTGTGTGTGTGTTGCCTCGTGCGGCATCCCGTCCATCTCTTTGCAGGCCATCCCCAGTGACGGAGACGGTGTATATCCCGGCGCGGGCAGTGAGTCAGTGGGGCGGTGCGAGCGAGAGAGAGGGAGAATGTGGACACTTTGCGTAACACCGGCGCCAATATGCCGGCCAGCGGCCAAGCCGCCGAGACACAGTGGGCCAGAAGACCGGTGGAGGCGGCCTGAATTCTAGACGCGTTTGAGCTCCAGATTCGCTAAACGGTACTCGAATCGAGCGTATGACCCCATCAATGGATTCCTCGTCCGGAGAGCAATCCATTGGTGGGGTCACACGTTCGGTTCGAGTCCCATTTAGCGACTCCGGAGCTCAAAACGCGTCTAGAATTTCGGCCACCTCCACTGGTCTTTAGGCCCACTCAACAGGAGAGCGACTATCTGCGAATTACCGTCGGGTAGACTGGAAAATTTCGGCTGCCTCCATTCATCGTGCTGCACCCTTTAGACCAGTTACAGTGAAAGAATATATTTATTTTCTTGTTGCTCGTTGGCATAGTTCCTTGAGTTGCGTGCCCTTGAACGCCGTGCAGCCCCAGGGGCCACCCCGCCATGTTCCCCACGTGTGCACCTGAGTGTGTACACTGCCGCGGCAACGCCCGTCCAGGAAAATCATATCTGGGTCTTCGTCGGGGCCGGCCTTGCCAAGTGCGCGTCGAGGAATTCGCGTTACATCCTGACCTTCCGCTACACTGGGGTGTCTGGTTCAGTTACATCGAGCGGTGGTGGTCCGGGGAGAGAGAGGGGGGGGGGGGCGTTCAAGTCAGCTGTGGTGGGCGCCGCCCCGCCCCGCCCCGCCCTCTTGGCAGACTGCCGCCAAGGTTCGCTTTCCCTTGGCAACGTGACGCCCGCCCCCCCCTCCCCCTTTCCCACAAGGTTTTCTCGACTTTTCTCTCATTTTTGTTTTCCTCTCGATTCGCAGGAGTTGGTAAGGTATTGCTCCAGGCTCGGGGAGGATACGACCGACCTCAGCAAGGCACTCGAGTTGATGCTCGGAGTGCCCCACCGGGCCAACGACATCAAGTTCATCTCCAACATCGAGGGTTATCACGGCAACATCCACAAGCTCGGCCGCCTGCTGCGACACGTCAGTAAAAATTTGAAAACGGCTCAAAAATAAAATTTCTTAAAGTTATCATTTTATATAAAAAGCAACACAATCCTCTATAATACTTTAAAAAAATTAATAGTTTGAGTGCAATTCGGTCGGCAAAGGACTTGAAATTTGTCGTTTACTCCTCCCGGCAGGATTGGTTCACCGTCACCTACCGGGACGGCAGGGGCAAGGAGAGGTACCTGTTCCTCTTCAAGGCGCGCATCCTCGTGTGCAAGGTCCGACGCATCTCCGAGGACCGCTCCGTGTTCGTGCTCAAGGACATCATCCGAGTGAGTCGAACTGGGTCACAGCGGTCACAGCGACACTACAGTGGGCCAGAAGACCGCTGGAGGCGGTCAAAACTCCAGATGCATTTTTAGTTTCAGAGCCGCTGAACAGGACTGGAACCGAACGTGTGACCCCACCAATGGATTCCTCGTTCGGAGAGCAATCCATTGGTGGGGTCGCACGTCCGGTTCGAGTCCCATTTAGCGACTCTGGAGCTTAAAACGCGTCTAGAATTTTGACCGCCTCCACTGGTCTTCTGGCCCACTGTGTGCCTACAAAGTGGACTCCTTTCGATGACGGGCTGTCTCCCCCCAGTTGCCCGAGCTCGAGGTGAAAGACCTCCCCGACAACAGCAGAGGCTTCCAGCTTCGCCACCCGGACGGCGAGGTGCGGCCCTACCCGCTGATCATCTCGGCGCACAACGACTCCGCCAAGGACGTGTGGCTCAAGGAGATCAAGCAGTACGCCGCGGACTCGCGTGAGTGTCGGGCCTGTCGGGGTGCGGGTTCAAATCCCGGCTACCCAAAGAAAGTGTTTTGAAAAATTACTTTCAAAAACTATTTAAAAAAAAAAGTTTCACAACATTTTTTTTAAATTTAAAACTCAGATTTTTAAATTAAGTTTCCAAAACAATTTTTTTTATCTGGAAACTTTTTTTTTTTTCAAGTTTTCAATTGTTTTTTTTTTTTTTTGCAGTCGCACTTGCAGAGCACGCCGCTGACGACCTCCACGTGAAGGACGAAGAGGCGTCGTCCGCTGCAGAGCCCTCGCTCAAGCAGCCCAAGCAGCCCGTCAACAAGGTCATCGTCCACAAGATCCAGGTCGAGGAGCCCAGGACCCCGGAGCCGCTCGTCGAGGAGCCCCCCACCCCCGTGCTCGACGTCAACGGGAAGGGGAAAGAGCTCGAGGACAATGCCAAGGCCCGCGCCGAGGACGTGACCGACGAGGTGTTCCACGACGCAGTCGAGGACGTGAGCGAGGCCGTCAAGGAGGAGAAGGCCGTTGAGAAGGTCGTCCAGAAGGAGGACGCAGTCAACAAGGAGGCCGCAGTCCAAAACGGAGCCGACATGTCGGAGTACAGCAGTCGTCGGACGTCCATCCGGAGAGCGGGCAGCTCCCGGACGGAGGTGGAGGGTGAGTGGTCCAGTTCAAAAAAAAAAATCAAGAAACAAACAAAAAGACATTTCGCGAGTTTGAAACGTACTTGGTAGCACTACGATGGAGTGACACCCACTCCACAAGGCAACCCAAACTTTTTTCTAAAAAAATTGTGTTTTTTAAAAGAGTATAGAAAGCCCTATTCCATTATTGACTCGTCACCGGTGCGGTGACGAGACACACAACAGCGTATGCTCTATTTATTCCAGCATACCCTGTTGTTTTTCTGGCCACCCTTTTGCTGTTCCCCGCCCCATTCCCCGTGGTGTCTGTGTCTCCGTGTCTCACTCTCGTTCCGACCCTGACGTCATAGCTGACGTCATAGCCAGACTCTTCGCGCCTGCTTCTGCAACCGGGGCCGGGACCCCGCGGCGGGCTTCCTTCTGCTTCCCTTCGTAGACCCGAGCAGTGAATAACGTCAATGTGTAGAGTAGAACAGTGGAAATAATGAATGGATGCCTTGCCACGCACACCAAAGGACTCGCGGTCACAGCGACACCACAGTGGCCCAGAAGACCCCTTCAGACGGCCAAAACTCCTGACGTATTTTGAGCTCCAGAGCCGCTAAACGTGACTCGAACCGAACGTGTGACCCCACCAATGGATTCCTCGTTCGGAGAGCAATCCATTGGTGGGGTCACACGTTCGGTTCGAGTCCCATTTAGCGACTCTGGAGCTCAAAACGCGTCTAGAATTACGGCCGCCTCCACCGGTCTTCCGGCCCACTGCGCGCTGCCGCTAGTCCGTTGTGTGCGTGCCCTAAGCATGTTGCGTGGGCCTGCCTGAGCCGCTGCCCCCCCACTGCCCCCTGACGTGGCGGAGCCCTTTGCAGAGTCGTACTCCGTGTCGCGGTCCAGCCGCCACGAGATGATCAGCGAGAGCTCCCTGACGGGGGTCTCGTCCATGGGCGCGTCGTCCATCCGCTCGTCCAGCCGCACCGAGTCCTCGTCGTCGGCGAGGTACTCGTCGGGCGACGTGAGCGGCTCCGCCCTCACCGAGTCCTCGTCGGCGTACTCGTCGCGCGGCGGACGCTCCTCCATCACCGAGACCTCGTCGTCGACCGTGCGCGGCGGCGACGCGCTGTCCAGCTCCACCAGGACGTCCATCAAGATGTCGTCCTCGGACGGCCAGGCCGCCATCACGACAGGCAAGCGCAGGCCGTCCTTCGCCAAGACCCTGGAGGGCTGCCACTGCGAGCGTAAGTAGCGCGACGCTTAGCGCGAGGACGTGGAGGCTGACTGCGACTTGAACGCGATTCCGAACCGCAAGGGATTTCCTGAGAGGGGCGATCCCTGCACAGGTCCTAGGGTCAGTTGGGGTAATCATGGGACACGGGGTAAAAATGGGACAGCTGATTCATAGTCAAGGTTTGACATTTTTGAACGCATGACGTACCAAATGTGATGTTTTTACTGAAAAAAAATTGCTACGGCACAAGTTGTAAAATCTCGATTCTTGACTAAGAATCAGCTGTCCCATTTTCACCCCGTGTCCCATAATCACCCCAACTGACCCTAAGCCGATAATCCGATTTACAATCTGATTTCAACTTGTTTGGTCTGTGCACGAACCCCCAAGAACACAAAACGCTCACCGTGACATCATTTGACGTCAACTTGACTGATTTTAGTCAAAATGTCGACGAAAAAAGCGTCATTTTGACGTCGTGTTGACGTGAGTGTTTCGTGTTCCTTGGGAAGCTCGTATCCCGTCGTTTTCTCTAGGAACTCGAACTCACGGTGAACGGATGACCGGTTTCTCAGCTCATCGTATCTTTTTTGCAGGTTCCAAACACGACCGATTTTCGTTCCAATGTTAAATGTTTTAAATGTGCTACACTCTGCTTGACCTGTCATTGGCCTGTCCTTCTTTAACGCAAAAAAGGCGCAGTGCTCATGCGACTTCTGTCCTCGTGACTAACGCCGGCCTCTGTTGACTCCTTGTTCTGTTTCACACATGAGTGTTTACTCCGAATTGTTGATCCATGCGATCCACTTGCTGTAGAAGGCAACAAATGTGGAATTTTTTTTTTAAATCCCTGCTGCTTTTTTACTGTTTGAAAAAAATTTAAAATTTAAGCCAAAATTTCTTACAGAGGAGCAACGTACGAGCCATTCTGTTTTACAAAATGACCCAAATAATTCAAAAAATATTTTCAAAATCAACCAGGTGGCATAAGCCTTGTCCTTATAAGGCTGTGCTTATTTTGGCAATTCATGACAAGGAACTTTCTTTCGAGTTAATGGATGTATTGGGGTCTTGGATCGTACGATACACCGTGGCCCAGAGCACCGGTGGAGGCGGCCAAAACTCTAGACGCGTTTTGAGCTCCAGCCAGAGTCGCTGAATGGGATTCAAACCAAACGTGTGACCCCACCAATGGTTTCCTCGTTCGGTCAGCAAACCATTGGTGGGGGTCACACGTTCGGTTCGAGTCCCATTCAGCGACTCTGGAGCTCAAAACGCGTCTAGAGTTTCGTCCGCCTGCGCCGGTCTTCTGGCCCACTGTGCGCCACTCCACATGATTCTCCAAGCCACTTCTACTGTGCGCTGCAGCGGGCGAGACGGCGACCTTCGAGTGCAGCGTGGCCGGCGAGGAGTCGACTTCAGTGACGTGGCTCAAGGACAACAAGCCCCTGAGCGACCGCCTCATGGACCGCGTGTCCAAGAGCAACGTGGACAACTCGTTCAAGCTGGAGATCCAGAACCTGCTGGAGTCCGACACGGGCATGTACACTGCGCACGCCACCAACGCCGAGGGCGCCAGCACCTGCACCGCCCACCTCCTGGTCCAGAAACGTGAGTGTATCAGCACGGGTCGGTAGCCGCGTGGTCAAGGACGCTGCGTTCAACAGCCGAGGACGCGGGTTCAAATACTCGCCTTGACTGTATTTTATTTCACTATTTTTGGCGAAGTATTTTTCTCTGTCTGCTGAGCTTAGAAAATACTCACAGCTTCCTCATATTTGTGATAAGCAGAAGGAATGTCTCTTTGCGGTGCCATAATCTGTTACTTTTTACACTGCAGTGACCGAAGAGGAGAGGCAGAAGCGTGCCGAGGCCAACCACCCCGTGTTCCTGGTGCAGCTCAAGGACACCGAGCTGCTGCAGGACACGTACTTGCGGTTCATGGTGAAGGTGAAGGGCAACCCCAACCCCACCGTGCGATTGTAAGTTAAAAGAAAATTGAGAAAAAAAAACCGAAAATAAAATGCAACCCCCTAACTGACGTTCGAACCCATGACAGCTACAAGGACGACAGCCGCATTCTGTCCACCAACGACCGGCTGAAGGTGAACAACGAGCAGTCGGACGCGGGCTACTACGAGCTGGTGATCCCCGAGGTGAAGCCCGAGGACGCCGGCAAGTACTCCTGCGTGGCCATCAACAGCTACGGCGAGGAGCGCTGCGACGCCCAGCTCACCGTCGTGGGTGAGTGAGTGAGACAGCCACTGGGCCAGAAGACCGGTGGAGGCGGCTAAAACTCCAGACGCGTTTTGAGCTCCAGAGTCGCTAAGCAGGACTCGAACCGAGCGTGTGATCCCACCAATGGATTGCTCGTTCGGAGAGCAAACCATTGGTGGGGTCACACGTTCGGTTCGAGTCCCATTTAGCGACTCTGGTGCTCAAAACGCGTCCGGGATTTTGACCGTCTCCACCGGTCTTCTGGCCCACTGTGAGGCACTTCCCCGCGCCTTGCGGACAGTCATTGCTTCGGTTCCAGACGACAAGGACGTCTTCGCCGGCCTGGAGGAGACGGACGAGGAGCTCAAGCCCGGCGAGCAGCCCGCGTTCCACTGGACGCGCAACGGCCAGGCCTTCGACCCCGAGGAGCGGTTCAAAGTCTTGCTCACGGTATGCTAGCCTCGTAGCCTCCAGGTCCACATGCACGCACGCGCCGGGGCGAGCCCAGGGCGAGCCTAGGGTAGCTACGACCGGGATGGAACCCCCCTTGGAAGGGATCGCGCGCTACCGCTTCACAGTGGGCCAGAAGACCGGTGGAGGCGGTCAAAATCCCGGACGCGTTTTGAGCTCTAGAGTCGCTAAAAGGTACTCCTCCCGAACGTGTAACCCCACAAATGAATTTCTCTCTGAACGAGGAATCCATTGGTGGGGTCACACGTCCGGTTCGAGTTCCAGTTAGCGACTCTGGAGCTCTTAACGCGTCCAGGGTTTTGACCGTCTCCACCGGTCTTCTGGCAAATCCACTGTGCGCTTTCCCCATCTCCGCTGTCTAGACTAGCCATAGAGTAGTCGGGCTGAATTAATACTCTCCGTGCTGTTGTGCTACACTGTCGGACTAACCGGACGATTTACTTTTCTTCGCAGGAGAACAAATTGAAATCTTTGCTCGAGGTTTGTACAGAGTACATCTTCTACGCACGGCTTTGATCGCCATCTAACGCGCTCACTTCGCTTGCCGCCAGAGGGAAACAGGAATCGCCTTCCAGGGACCAAACCACCGAGGGAGCCGCACATTCAAAATTGAAAAGTTGAAAGCTGTATTTTTTTTCAAGGATGAACTGTTTCCCTCTCGTATGGCCGGCTTTTTGCAGACCGACTTTCCAGCAGGAGCTAGCGAGCGGGCCTTGCATGTATTGCGTGACGGTCGCACGATGGCGTTGTGAGCCAAGGGGAAATAACTCCAGCCAAATTTGTGCACCAAAATTCACTAAAATTCATATAAATTCATCGAAATTTGACGGAAATTTATCAAAATCTGACTGAAATTTGTCGAAATTTGACTGAAACTTATCGAAATTTGACCGAAATTCATCAAAATTTGACTGAGTTTGTCGAGATTTGATTGAAATTCATCGAATTTTGACTGAAATTCATTAAATTTGACTGAAATTCATTAAATTTGAACACCGAAATTCACAGTGATTTCCCCCTGTCGTCCTCCGTGTCGCCCCAAAACGTGACGTAATACGTGCAAGCGCCCCACGGCCGCAGTACTTGCAGCATGACTTACAGTGTAACGCTTTTCACAGCCGCTTCCGTGCGCCCTTGTCTCCTTGCAGGCGCAGGAGCAGGAGACGAGCTGCCTGGCCCGCCTGGAGGGCGCCTACATTCTCGGGGACGACCGGCAGGAGATGTGGGAGATGGAAGGGCCCGGGCCGGGCTCGCCCGAAGAGACCCCAGAGAAGGACGCCCCGGACAAGCCGCGAACCATCGAATCTTACGAACCGGACAAGTCCAAAATCCGCACCTTCGTCCACTCCAAGTACGCCCAGGCGCGCAAGCTGAGCGTCCTGGAGAAGAAGATTAACATCCTCGGGGACGAGCGGCAGGAGATGTGGGAGATGGAAGGATCCGGGCTGGGCTCGGGGCCGGGCTCGCCCGAAGAGACCCTAGAGAAGGACGCCCCGGACGAGCAGGACAGGCCGCGAACCATCGAATCCTACGAACCGGACAAGCCCAAAATCCGCACCTTCGCCCACTCCAAGTACGCCCAGGCGCGCAAGCTGAGCGTCCTCGAGAAGAAGATCAACGCCTTCAGGCTCAACGAACTGCAGTCCAGGCTGACGGTCGTGGACGCCGAGGGCGAGGAGTCCAGCGACTCGATGCTCAACGGGGTGGCGCCACTGCAAAACGGCGTCAAGAACGTGAAGAAGGCCGAAGGGGACTCGGAGAGCGAGGAGGAGAGAGAGACGGTGAAACGGAGGGAGAGGGACAAAGAACTAGAGAGGCAGCGGCAGCTGGACAGACAGAGAGAAATTGATAAGGCCAAGGAGAAGGAGCGCGAGGAACTGGAAAGACAGAAAGAGATTGAACGTCTGAGAAAAATAGAAAAACAACAAGAACTAGAAAGACTGAAGGAAATTGAACGGCAGAAAGAGATTGAACGTATCAGAGTAATAGAAAAACAGCAAGAACTAGAAAGACTGAAGGAAACTGAACGGCAGAAAGAGATTGAGCGCCTCAAAGAAATAGAGAAACAACAAGAACTAGAAAGACTGAAAGAAGTTGAACAGCAGAAAGAGCTAGAACGGAAGAAGGAAGAGGAGCGCCTAAAACAACTCGAACAACAACGAGAAATTGAACGACAAAAAGAATTAGATAAACAAAAAGAAACCGAACGACGACAGGAGGAAGAGAAGCAAAAAGAACTAGAGAGACAGAAAGAGATTGAACGCCGCAGAGAGATAGAAAAACAACAAGAACTAGAAAGACTTAAGGAAATTGAACGGCAGAAGGAGCTAGAAAGGCAAAAGGAAGAAGAGCGCTTAAAAGAACTAGCAAAACAACGAGAAATTGAACTACAAAAAGAATTAGAAAAACAAAAAGAAATTGAGCGGCAAGAGGAAGAGAAACGAAAAGAATTGGAGAGACAAAAGGAAATAGAACGCCTCAAAGAAATAGAAAAACAACAAGAATTGGAAAGACAGAAGGAAATTGAACGGCAGAAGGAGCTAGAAAGGCAAAAGCAAGAAGAGCGTCTTAAAGAACTAGAAAAACAACGAGAAATGGAACGACAAAAAGAATTAGATAAACAACTAGAAATGGAACGAAGACAAGAGGAAGAGAAGCGAAAGGAATTGGAGAGACAAAAAGAAGTTGACAGACAGAAAGAGATAGAACGCCTCAAAGAAATCGAAAAACGAAAAGAATTAGAAAGACTGAAGGAAATTGATAGGCTGAAAGAGTTAGAAAGACGAAAGGAAGAAGAGCGCCTAAAAGAACTGGAAACACAACGAGAAATTGAACGTCAAAAAGAATTAAATAAACAAAACGAAATCAAACGACAGCAAGAATTAGAAAAACAAAAAGAAATAGAGCGAATAAAAGAACTAGAAATACAGAAAGAAATTGAACGTCAAAAAGAGTTAGACAGGCTGGCAGAATTGGAACGACAAAAAGAGCTAGAATGGAAGAAGGAAGAAGAGAAACAAAAAGAAAAAGAGGCCCTTGAAAGACGGAAAGAAATTGAACGTCAGCAAGAGTTGGATAAACAGAGGGAGATTCATTTACAAACTGAATTAGAAAGGAAGAAAGAAGAGGAAAAACAAAAAGAATTAGAAAGACAGAAAGAACTTGAAAGGCAGCAAGAAGAAGAGAGGAAAAAACGTGATGAGAATATCAGATTGGAAGAGGATAGAAAGCAGATGGAATCGAAGGCTCAAGAGCTGGAAGTGACGAAAGTCAAGGACAAAACTGAAAAACGTGCCCACAAGAAACGAAAGGTCAGCTCTGAGAATGGTAGTGCGGTAGAAAGCCCTGTCTTCGTGGAAACTTGCACCGTGCCAGCATGCCGTCGGAATGTCCTGATCCTGAAAATGTGTCCTCGGCGTTACGGGTGCTCCTGGCAGACAGGCCGCGACTCCAGGCGTACTCCTACATTGATTTCCTTACAACCTGAATGAACTGAACCTGTACATAGCCTTGCGAGTGACATTAACACACACATCTGCACGACCATTACCACCAGAGCTCCGTCGCTGAACGAAATTCTTGTCCCTTCGGGAAGCATCTATCTCGTGAATGGGAGGGTGAAACATCGTACTCATTTAATGCTCCGCGGAGAATGGATTAACAACACCTCACAATAATATCTTGCCGTTTGCGGGGTGGTGCCTCTCAAAGTCGTAGAATCTCGTTCAAGTTTTAATTATTTTTCTGAGTTGACCCGTTTGACATGTGTTCCTGACCGTGCCACATTCGAGCCACACACTACGTCTTGACCTCTTGTGCATGACCTGTGCCGGCCCATGGCCTATGTTGTCCGTTGTTGTTGTTGCTGCTGCGTCGCTCCGGCCGAATTCTGATTCATCGCTCTGCCGGCAGGACGAGGAGGACTCCCTGGCGCTGGTGTTCCAGCACGTCAAGCCGGAGGACGCCGGGCTGTACACGTGCGTGGCGCAGACGTCCAGCGGCAAGATCTCGTGCAGCGCCGAGCTCACCGTCAAAGGTAGGCTGGCCGCCCCCTCCGTGCCGCCAGCGCCGTCCCCACGCACAGTGTAGGAGGCGGCCAAAGCTCTAGACGCGTTTTGAGCTCCAGAGTCGCTAAACGGGACTCGAACCGCACGTGTGACCCCACCAATGGATTCCTCGTTCGGAGAGCAATCCATTAGTGGGGTCACACGTTCAGTTCGAGTCCCATTTAGCGACTCTGGAGCTCGTAACGCTTCGAGAGTTTTCGCCGCCTCCGTGCGGAACGCCTGCGAGGTAGGCAACCATGCGTCCAGCGACACAGTGGTGTCGGCGGATTGCCTACGCAGAGATGCCAGGCGCTCCAGGCGGCGGCCTGGCCTGGCCTGGCGCGAGGCGGACCAAAATTCAAGACGCGTTGTGAGCTACAGAGTCGCTAGGCAGGACTCGAACTGAACGTGTGACCCCACCAATGGATTCCTCGTTCGGAGAGCAATCCATTGGTGGGGTCACACGTTCGGTTCGAGTCCTGTTTAGCAGCTCTGGAGCTCAAAACGCGTCCGGGATTGAGACCGCCTCCACCGGTCTCCTGGCACACTGTGCACCCTTCCCCACCGCCAGTGCCGCCCCCACGCCACCTTCCCCGCCCCGCCCCGCCCCTTGATCGACGGCCGTTGCATGCCGATCCCTTGCGAAAGAGCACCGCGGCTTGTTGATGGTGGTGCAGTGCCTGCGCTGCCTGCGCTGCAGTAGTGCGGCGTTGCCTGCTGGTGCCACAACTTTTTCGCCGCCACTGTTGCCACCGCGCGAGTCGCCTGTGGTCGCGGACGTCGCGGACGTCGCGGACGTCGCGGACCTCGCGGACCTCGCGGACCTCGCACTGTGCCCCTCGGGGGCAAGGGAGGGCCGCCAGCCGGGCGCCAACAGGGCAGCCCGCAGGCCTTGAGCTCCGCGTCGAAGAGTCTGATTGGCAGTCCCGACCAGTGCCGCGCCGCGCCGTCGTCGCCGTCCGCGCGGCCCGCAGTAGCCCCGCAAGGCCGCCGCCATGGAGGAGGACGACGCGCAGTCGGTGGACAGCAAGAAGAAGGGCAAGAAGAAGGCCAAGAAGAAGGATGAAGGTAGCCCGGATGGAGCTGCCTGCCCGCCTGCCTGCCTGCCGTGCCGACCTCGTCGACGGAGTGTGCTGTTCCCAACCGTGGCGGTGTGCATGCCCTCCCCCGCCCCTTTGTTTACGTCCTGGCTCCAGCCGCGCCTCGCCGCCCTCCAGTGTGCTGGCCGGCGGGCGGCCGTTCGCGGACGGAGCTCTCGGTTTCGCCATCCTTGGCAGTCCCGCCCCTCGCCCGCGCCTCCCTCTCGGTGCCCTCGGTATTTTTAGCCCGCCAGTCTCGCATTACGCCCCGTGCCGGCCCTCGCCGTGGTCCAATTCTCCGTCTGATTGGCCCGCGTGCCGAGTCGCGTCACCGTCACGTCACCGAGTGACGTCATAGTCACGTCACGCTCGTTCCCGGAGTCAATGATCGCAGTATTTGGAGGCCGAATTTTTGTACGAGGTCGATAAACCTCTTCGCACTGTGGGCCAGAAGACCGGTGGAGGCGGTCAAAACCCCCGACGGGTTTTGAGCTCCAGAATCACTAAACAGGACGCGAACCGAACGTGTGACCCCACCGATGGATTGCTCTCCGAACGAGGAATCCATTGGTGGGGTCACACGTTTGGTTCGTGTCCTTTTTAGCGACTCTGGAGCTATCGAGTCTAGAGTTTTGCCCGCCTGCACCGGTCTTCTGGTCCACTGTGCGTCGGTGGTAATGTTGTGACGGCCATGCAATCGCTTACAGTGGCGTTGGGATCAGTTAGTTGTGCCAAATGACGGCAAATTTTTCCAGTGTTCTTGTGAGAACCTTCCGCGCATGTCGTGATCGGGAAGAGATATATTCTAAAAGCATCAGAATGGTAAGGCATTTTGATGTTTTTCCTTGTTTTTAGGGTTTTATTCGCACCATTTCCCCTGGCTGAAAAGTAAAACTTTCGGTTCCGCAGAAAGCGATTTATGTCAATACTTTAGAAAAGATGAATTCAATTTTTGAAATTTTACCATGTTTACAGCTGTTCTTTATTGAATGCACGATGTCGAAATCCTGTTCCCCCCGATCCGAACTAAAAACCTTTTCATGACATTTTTTTTCGTATGTTGATGTTTTTGTTTTTGTTGATGTGCCTAGCGACAAACTTGCAGTCATGCGTGTGTGTTGTTTCTCTATTTTTAGGAGGCGTCAATGCACTGGCGAGGGAGCCGGAGAAGCCCAAGATCACTGTGGAAACGAAGACTCAAGAAGTGAGCCTCGGCGGCTCGGCCATGCTGGAGCTTAAGGTTGAGGGCTCGCCCAAGCCGGAAATCGCATGGTGAGCGACTGGAAACCGATTCTGAGCTCCAGAGTCGCTAAATGGGACTCGAACCGAACGTGTGACCCCACCAATGGATTGCTCTCCGAACGAGGAATCCATTGGTGGGGTCACACGTTCGGTTCGAGTCCCATTTAGCGACTCTGGAGCTCAAAACGCGTCGAGAGTTTTGGCCGCCTCCACCGGTCTTCTGGCAAGTCCACTGTGTGACTGTCTCTCTCGCTCCAGGACCAAGGACGGGCAGGACGTGAAGGCGGGCGGCCGCGTGCGCTTCCTCTACGAGGACGACGAGAGCATGTCCATGATCATCAAGGGCGTGACGCCGGAGGACGCGGGCGTCTACACTGTCACCGCCTGGAACGACATGGGCGAGGACTTTGCCGAGGTCACGCTCAACGTCAAGGGTGAGTCCGTCCACTGCGAAAAATAAACTAAATTTAATATTTTATACCTCAAATTTAAATACAATAAATAAACGACAAAAACTGATACAGCTTAACCAATTTTTTTGTCAAGATTTCGTAGAGTACTTTTCGTATTTAAATAGTATGCATAAAAATAATCAACCATCTCACTCCGTTCGATATGACGTGAGTTTGTAGAGAGGGGGTTAACTTCAAAATTGATGACGTACGCGGCTAAGAGTGTCTAACGGATTTTTTTTTTGCCTTGCAGCGCCGCCCAAGTTCAAGACGAAGATCCAGGACCAGGCCTGCATGATGGATGACACCCTCAGGGTCAGGGTGGAGGTGGAGGGAAGACCGCCGCCGGAGCTGACGTGGTGAGGACGCCTGGAGCCAGTTGATGTTCACATTAAAATCCATTTCCAGTTTGGCGGAAGACTGGTGGAGGCGGTCAAAATCCCGGACGGGTTTTGAACTCCAGAGCCGCTAAATGGGACTCGAACCGAACGCGTGACCCGACCAATGGATTGCTCTCCGAACGGGGAGTCCATTGGCGGGGTCACACGCTCGGTTCGAGTCCTGCTTAGCGACACTAGAGCTCAAAACGCGTCTAGAGGTTTGGCCGCCTCCACCGGTCTTCTGGCCTACTGTGCGGCGCCTCGCATGACTGCCTCAACTCGTGCCCAGGTTCAAGGACGGCAAGGAGATCAAGGAGGACTCGCGCTTCCACATCGTCAAGGAGAGCGACGAGGTGTTCGTGCTGGTGATCGAGAAGATGGTCCTGGAGGACTCGGGCTCGTACTCGGTGGTGGCCCGCAACGAGGTCAGCCAGACGTCCGAGTTCTACAAGCTGGCCGTGCAGTCGCCGCCCTTCTTCACGCAGAAGATCGCGCCGCGCAAGATCGAGGTCCGCGAGGGCGACTTCACCACCTTCTCCGTCAAGGTCGACGGCGACCCCAAGCCCAGGGTCCGCTGGTGAGAACTGGAACTCTGTTAAAAACAAATTTGTGAACCGTGGAAAGTTTGCTTCGAAGTTCTGTCAGAAATTTTGGAAGGCTTCGAAGGCGGCCAAAACTCCAGACGGCGGGTTTTGAGCTCCAGAGTGGCTAAATGGGACTCGCGCCGAACGTGTGACCCCACCAAGGGATTGCTCTCCGAACGAGGAATCCATTGGTGGGGTCACACGTCCGGTCCGAGTCATGTTTAGCGACTCTGGAGCTCAAAACGCGTCTAGAGTTGTGGCCGCCTCCACCGGTCTTCTGGCCCACTGACGCTGGCTGACGTGCGTCGGCTCGCAGGTTCAAGGACGACACGGAGCTGCTGAACGACGACCGGCACGTGAAGATCGAGAGCGACCGCGACGGCGAAATGCACACTCTCACGCTGCGCGGCATTACGCGTGACGACATGGGCAAGTACACGTGCGAGCTGGACAACCGCAACGGCCGCTGCAGCGACAGCACCACCATGCACGTGCACTGTATCCCGCTCGTCAAGCAGAAGCTGCGCGACATCGTGTCCAAGGAGGGCGACCTCATGGTCGTGTTCGACGTCACCATCGAGGCCTTCCCGGAGCCCGAGATCAAGTGGTACGTCCACCACAGATAAATTGAGCCTTTTCAGTGGTTTTGAACTCGGAAACCTGTCGCCAAAAACCAAGTACCTAACGCGCGCGGCCACGCCGTGCTCCCGACAGGACCCACGACGACGTGGAGGTGACGGAGCGCAAGACGCTCATCACCCGCACCTTCGACGAGACCCACATCTACCTGAAGACGTACAAGCTGACCATGAAGGAGGTGCACGTGGACCAGGCCGGCCAGTACACCTGCACGGCCACCAACCCGCTGGGCACCACGGACAACAGCTCCAACTTCAAGGTGTTGTGTGAGTATCGCGCCAGTGTGGCAGGTCAAATCGAGTGTTTTTTTGTTTTTGTTTTTATTGTTGTGTTTCTTGCTCTCCGCAGACGTTCCCAAGATCACCAAGAAGCTCGAGAACGTGACCCTGGACGAGGGCGAGACCCTGGAGCTCAACATCGAGGCCAACGCCGTGCCCATTCCCGACGTGACATGGTGAACACCCTCAAGCTCGCACCGCCACAGTGGGCCAGAAGACCGGTGGAGGTGGCCTAAATTCTAGACGCGTTTTGAGCTCCACAGTCGCTAAATGAGACTAGAACCGAACGTGTGACCCCACCTATGGATTCCTCGTTCGGAGAGCAATCCATTGGTGGGGTCAGTCGTTGGGTTCGAGTTCCATTTAGCGGCTCTGGAGCTCTAAACGCATCTAGAGTTTTGTCCGCCTCCACCGGTCTTCTGGCCCACTGTGCACTTTGCACGTGGCGTTCGAGTGTGTCTGACGCTCCTCATTCTCGCCCGCAGGTACAAGGACGGCAAGAAGCTCTCGGCCGAGGCCAACGCCAACATCAAGATCACGCGCGACCGGCAGCGCCAGGAGAGCTACAGCCTCACGCTCAACTTGTGCAAGTACCAGGACACGGGCGAGTACGAGTGCCGCGTGTCCAACGACCAGGGCACCACGTCCACCAAGTGCAACGTGGTGGTGAACGGTGAGTGGGCGCTGTGCTCCGCAGCGCGCAGAACACGGTTCGCGGCTTTTGAATTTTCCGTTGCCGCACAGTGGGCCAGAAACCGGTGAAGGCGGCCAAAATTCTTGACGCGTTTTGAGCTCCAGAGTCGCCAAATGGGACTCGAACCGAACGTGTGACCCCACCAATGGACTGCTCTCAGGACGAGGAATCCATTGGTGGGGTCACACGTTCGGTTCGAGTCCTGTTTAGTGACTCGGGAGCTCAAAACGCGTCCAGAATTTTGGCCGCCTCCGCCGGTTTCTAGCCCACCGTATGCCGCCCCGGGGCCTGGGACTCGCCCTCCGCGTCGTGCAGTGGCTCAGAAGACCGGTTGAGGCGGTCGGTCAAAATCCCGGACGGGGTTTGAGCTCCAGAGTCGCTTAGCGGGACTCGTATCGAGCGTGTGACCCCATCATTGGATTTCCCTGCTAACGAGGAGTCCATTGGTGGAGTCACACTGTCGGCTCGAGTCCATTAGCGACTCCGGAGTTCAAAACACGTCAAGAATTTTGTCCAGCTCCACCGGTTTCCTGGACCACTGTGCCGCGGTCCTCCCCTATTTCTTTGACGCGTTCTGGCGAACGAGTGCCGTGCCAGCGTTGAACCTGCGGTAGTTTGATTCTAAAACAACATTTCAAGAAAACAAAATGTCAAGTTACTGCAAGCGCGACTCTTGTGCGGTACTCGTAATTTGCGGCAGAGTTTGCGGGTGAAATGAGGATGAGACGCGTTTTCACGGCCTCTGGGGAAAGTTGACTGTGTCTCTCGCACCCCCACGGCACGCCCCACAGTGGGCCAGAAGACCGTTGGAGGCGGCCAAAATTCTGGACGCGTTTTGAGCTCCAGAGTCACTAAGCACGACTTGAATCGAACGTGTGACCCCACCAATGGATTGTTCTCGGAACGAGGAATCCGATTGGTGGCGTCACACGTGTGGTTCGAGTCCCAAATAGCGACTCTGGGCCCCAAAACGCGTCTAGAGTTTTGGCCGCCTCCACCGGTCTTCTGGCCCACTGTGCACCCCAGGGGTGCGAGAGAGACAGGTTGCCCCTGACCCCTTCCTTCCAGGTGTAGCGCGCACTCGGAAAACAAAAGCCGGCTCGCCCCTAGGGGGACTCGAACTCGAACCTGCCAACGCGATGCATGTGGGACGTCGCGGGTTCGAATCCCCCTCGGGCCTCGGCCGTCTTTTGTTTTGTCCGCGTGCCTGTGTGTCCTGTCCGCGAGGTTTCGCCACACTTTGGGTCACTACAGAGCCAGTCACATGGAAGAGTGCACCCCAACACCCCAAAACTACCGCCCCTGACATTCCCGCGACATACCGACGAGAGTATGCAGTACTCTGGGCCAGATCACAGATTCACAAAATTAATTCACCCCTTATATTATCTTTCATAATCGACGGAGCAAATCTTTTCATCTTTCAGCGTTGGGCTGTAAGTAGTAGACGACGTTTGCATAGTTCCTAGGCGTTTTGTGTCCTAACTCCCCGTTTGACGAGCATCCCTTTTAGAGTTATCTCCTCGTGACAGAGTAACTTGGGGCTTCCATGACTTGACTGCGTTTTTTTCTATCCGCCGAGCCGAGCACCTTGAAACCGGAAGTTGGCAGGTTGCCTGCCGTAACGGGTTGGCTGTGGACGGCGGGTGCGAGATGCTCGAGCTTGGGCGGTGACGGGGATGCCCCAAGGGAAAAGTGTTTGCGAACGTGGCGCAGTGGGCCAGAAGACCGGTGGAGGCGGCCAAAATTCTAGACTCGTTTTGATCTCTGCAGAAGTCACTACATGAGACTCGAACCGCACGTGTGACCCTACTAATGAATTCGTCTTTAAGACAGCAATCCATTGGTGGGGTCAAACGTCCGCTTCGAGTCCCATTTAGTGACTCTGGAGCTCAAAACGCGTCTAGAATTTCGGCCGCACCGGTCTTCTGGCCCACTGTGCGTTGCGAAATCAACAACACCTTCCTCCGGGTGCGCCCGACTTGACCTGACCTGACCAGACCCTCCTGACGGCCACTGGCGGTTCCCTACTAGGCATGTTGTGTGTCTCTCGGGTGGAACTCTAGAACTAGAAATAGACTTCTAGCTGTGGTGTGGTGCCCCTTAGAGAAGCGAAAAGCCCCACCCATTTAAGTGAAATGCCGGGCTCTCCGCTGAGGGTTTAGTGTTTGCATGCCTTCGCTAGTCCCCGTCCCTTCCCCCGTTAATGCTCTGCCGTGTTGAACCCGCACAGAGAGGACCGTGGATGAGGAGGACGAAGAGATGAACAAGAAGGTGAAGCGAGTAGAGGAGGACGAGGAGGAGGAAGAGCAGGAGGAGCTGGACGTGAAGCTGAAGGCGAACAAGGACCCCGAGCCGGAGGAGGCCAAGGAGAATGAAGCTGAAGCCGCGGACGGCCCAGGAGGTGGAGGCCCCGGCCGAGGCCGCCGCCAAGGCCAAGCCGCAGGAAGAGGCCGTGGACGGCCAGCAGCCCCGCAAGGCCGCCGAGGCCAGCAAGCAGGACCGCGTCGAGGTCGACGCCGACGAGGGCAGCTCCCCGAAGAAGGCCGAGGCCGGGGACGAGGCCGGCCGGCGCAAGCCGCAGAAGGCGGTGGAGGCCACGGTGGCCGAGGCGCGGCCGCAAGACGAGGCCGACGGCCGAGGCCAGAAGGCCGAGCAGCGCGACGTCGCCGACGAGCAGGCACCGCAAAAGGCCCAGTCCGCAGGTAAGAGAGGAGGCAGGGCAGCCACGGCCTCGGCCAGCAGTACGTCCGTCCAGCTTTCCGTGTCGCACTGTCCGTCTGTCCGTCCGCTACACCGCGGTGCCTTCTGGTGTTGCCCCGCCGCAGCGCCGCAGCAGCCCAAAGAAGGCCGCCAACGCGCCGCCGTCCTTCGAACACTCCTGCCCCTGCAGCCTAACACATGTGCCTTCCAGTAGACGCACTTGCTATCCGGCTTACTGATTGGTCGCCCAACGCGCAGTGGGCCAGAGGAACGGTGAAGGCTGTCGAAATCCCGGAACCGCCCGGGTCGCTAATGGGACTCGAACCAAACGCGTGACCCCACCAATGGATTGCTCTCCGAACGAGGAATCCATTGGTGGGGTCACACGTTCGGTTCGAGTCCTGTTTAGCGACTCTGGAGCTCATAACGCGTCTAGAGGTTTGGCCGCCTCCACCGGTCTTCTGGCCCACCGAGCAACGGCACCGTAGTGTAGCGGCTTGCTGATTGGTCCCCTCGAGTCCCAGACACAGGCAGCTAATCGGTGAGCACGCCTTGCAGGTGGGGACGTCGGCGCCCCTCAGCGCGGCGTCCGTTCCACGACGTCACCGTCGAGGAGGTGGACGCGCAGACGCCGGGCGACCGCCTGCAGTTCGGCGTGGTCGAAGAGCCTCCCGAGGACGCGGCCGGGCTGCTCGGCGTGGCCGCGGCGCGCCTGGCCGTGAGCCGCGGCGTGTCCATCGTGTCCGTGTACTCGGACGAGGACGGCGGCCGGTCGGCGCGCGCCAGCGTGTCCCCGGGGCCGGGCGAGGACGCCGACGACGACGTGCCGGACGACGCCGGTAACGTCCGCGAGGGGCTTGCAGGTCGGCGACTGCAGCGCCTCGACACGGTGGAGGCCAGCGTCGAGGGCAGTGCGCCCGCCACGCCCACGGTCTCGGACGCGCCGCCCAGGAAGAAGGCCAGCGTCGTGGAGGACGACGAGGACCCCGCCCTGGAGGCGCTGCTGCGGCGCGTGCAGAAGCAGCGCTCCGTGCTGGAGGAGATCCTGGACAAGGAGGGCGAGAAGGCGGACAAGGCGCTCGGCGAAGGTACCCTCCCCACGCCGCCACGGCGACGCCTTCTTGAACTGTCACTCACACGGTGTCACTCACACCACGACCCGCCAGACGCCTCACAGTGGGCCAGAGGGCCGGTGGGGGCGGTGGAAACTCTAGACGCGTTTTGAGCTCCAGAGTCGCTAAATGGGACTCGAACCGAACGTGTGACCCGACCAATGGATTCCTCGTTCGAAGAGCAATCCATTGGTGGGGTCACACGTTCGGTTTGAGTCCTATTTAGCGACTCTGGAGCTCTAAACACGTCCGGGGTTCAGACCGGCTCCACCGGTCGGTCTTCGGGCACACTGTGCGCCCCGCGCGTCACACTGAAAAAGAATTTTCCGTGGTCTAGTCCCCGGAACCGGTGGCGTGGCCAATGTACAGTTGCCGACTCTAGGCGCCGCCCTGTAGGGTTGCCCCTCGCTACGCCACTGATAAAACCCGAATTCATGTACGCGGCGGGGTGTCCACCTTCCCGTGTGAAGTAGCCTTTCGTTGAACGTTTGCGAGTTCTAAACCTACTGTTAAGCTGCTGTGAACACTCACACACGTTTCCAGACTAGTCCGCGCTGTACATACGTGAAGAAACGGCCGCGAAGAGAAGAAGCATCATTTCGAACGGTTTTGCAGGTCTCGACAGTCTTCGCCAGCGGGCCTACGCCCCGTCGACCAGCCTCGCCGGTTTCTCTGTTCCACCAAAGTCCCCGCTGGAAGCCGCAAGCGCTGCGGGCGTCGCGAGACCCATTGCGCGCTTGTGTGTGTGCGCGTGCTCCTTGTGTGTGTTTGTGTTGGCATCCCTGCATGAGCACTCGACGCTTGCCGCTCCGCCGCTTCGCCGCTTGGCCCGCCTTCAACGCCAGGTACAGTGCCTTCTGTCTTTCGATGCCCACCGGTAAACATGGATCAAATAGACCCTTTCAGTCGTCGCCGAGTGTAGAACAAAAGTAATCAAAAAGCCAGGAACCAGTAGGAACGTTCCTAGTGGTTCCTGGATATTTGATTACTTTTGTTCTTCACTCGGCGACGACTCAAAGGGTCTATTAATAGGGTATTTCGGAGCAGCCCTTGCCCGGAAGAAGAACAAAACCGGAAGTTAGAAATATCAGTTTTTATGAGAAATATACGCTGCGGATGCTCATTTGCAGCGTATATTTCTCGTAAAAACTGCCATTTGTAACTTCCGTTTTTGTTCTTCTTCTTCTTCCGAGCCAAGGCTGCCCCGCTGACTTGCTTTTTATTTCATTTGTCCAAATTAATTTTGTTTCCTTTTAAAATTTACTTTCTACCCTTCTGGTTTAAAAATTTAATTTAAAAAAAAACTTCAAAAAAAAATTAAAAAATGTAAAAACTTAAAAACTGAACCAGAAAGCAGAATTGATTATTTTGTCGAATAAATTCCCAGGTAGAGTTTAACAGTGGGCCATTCTTTCGGTCTAGCCGGTGCTCGAGGCATGTCCTCTCCACTGTGCGTCTGCCGCACAGCCCCCCATACGCTTCAGCATTACCTTAACACACTTGCAAACGCTTCGCGCCGTGAGATTTGCTTTTGGACCTGGTCGCTGTTGCCGACTCAGACTAGCTCTCGATGTCGGTGACCACGTAGAGCTGCTCTGTGCCGGTCTGCAGCAGCGACCACAGTTATGGTAGACGCAGATTGAGTGTCTCAAAACGTCGAAGGAAGTGGAGGGTCCTTTTCATTTATCATCATTGGCGGGATGCTGTCTTCTAATGGTTACCTGATGTCCTAGCTTGTGCTGATAAATCTCTATATATTATCCACGACATCAGAGTGGCTTCTTTTTTTCCCTGAATCCTTAAAATAAATGGTTCTAAAGACAAAGCAGCACCCCGCCGTGGCTCCCCCGCGCGGCGTAACCATGGTTTGCATTGCAGCCAAGCCCGTCGTCACCAAGCACAACATGCAGGACTCGCAAATCTACGAGTCCCTCGCAAAGATCTACGAGGTCACCTGCATCGGCGAGCCCAAGCCAGTGGCCACCTGGTGCGTAAAGCGAAACCAAACTAGATCGGGAAAAATTGATTTCTTTGACCTGGGATTCGAACCCGCTACCTTGCCATCAGGTACAAGGACGGCGAAGAGGTGACCGCGGACAACGAGCACCTCAAGATCTCCGAGTCCGGCGACGTGTACAAGCTGGAGGTGCCGCCCACGTTCATCCCCACGGACGAGGGCGTGTACAAGCTCCACCTGGAGAACCGGCTCGGCTCCCAGGACCTCGAGTGCAACCTCAAGCTCATCCGTGAGTGCCCCAACCCGGCGTTTGCAGCAACAGGCGCTCTCACGGTGGGCCAGAAGGCCGGCGCCGGCGGCCAGAACTCTGGACGAATCGAACGTGTGACCTCACCAATGGATTCCTCGTGACCAGAGGAATCCATTGGTGGGGTCTCTCGTTCGGTCGAGGCCCATTTAGCGACTCTGGAGCTCAAAACGCGTCTAGAGTTTTGGCCGCCTCCACCGGTCTTCTGGCCCACTGTGCGCCCCACGGGTGCGAGAGAGACAGGTTGTCCCTCACCCCTTCCTTCCAGGTGTAGCGCGCACTCGGAAAACAAAAGCCGGCTCGCCCCTAGGGGGACTCGCACCTGCCAACGCTATGCATGTGGGACGTCGTGGGTTCGGATCCCCCTCGGGCCAAGGCCGTCTTTTGTTTTGTCCGCGTGCCTGTGTGTCCTGTCCGCGAGGTTTCGCCACACTTTGGTTCACTACAGAGCCAGTCACATGGAAGAGTGCACCCCAACACCCCAAAACTACCGCCCCTGACATTCCCGCGACATACCGACGAGAGCATGCAGTACTCTGGGCCAGATCACAGATTCACAAAATTAATTCACCCCTTATATTATCTTTCATAATCGACGGAGCAAATCTTTTCATCTTTCAGCGTTGGGCTGTAAGTAGTAGACGACGTTTGCATAGTTCCTAGGCGTTTTGTGTCCTAACTCCTTGTTTGACGAGCGTCCCTTTAGAGTTATCTCCTCGTGACAGAGTAACTTGGGGCTTCCAGGACTTGGCTTTGCTTTTTCTATCCTCCGAGTCGAGCACATTGAAACCGGAAGTTGGCACGCTGCCCGCCGTAACGGGTTGGCTGTGGACGGCGGGTGCGAGATGCTCGTGCTTGGACGGTGACGGGGCACAGTGGGCCAGAAGGCCGGTGGAGCGGCCAAAACTCTAGAGGCGTTTTGAGCTCCAGAGTCGGTAAATGGGACTCGAGTCGAACGCGTGACCCCACCAATGGATTCCTCGTTCGGAGAGCAATCCATTGGTGGTAGTGTTCCGGATTGGGTGGGCGGTCAAAACCCGATGACTCCAGAGCGACTCTAGAACTCGGCCGGTGAATGCAGTGCCGCCCGCAGGCACTGTCAGTAGGCTGGCGTAGGGCTTAGGCTATCCCGTCGGCAGTGCCTGCGGCTGGCACTGCATTCACCGGCCGAGTTCTAGACGCGCTCTGGAGTCATCGGGTTTTGACCGCCCACCCAATCCGGAACACTAATTGGTGGGGTCACACGTTCGGTTCGAGTCCCATTTAGCTACTCTGGAGCTCAAAACGCGTCTATAGTTTTGGCCGCTCCACCGGTCTTCTGGCCCACTGTGCGGGGATGCCTCCAGGGAAAAGTGTTGGCGAACGTTGCGCAGTGGGCCAGAAGGCCGGTGGAGGCGGCCGAAATTGCGTGCGACTTGTCTATCCTTTGCTGTGTGCTGCCGCCAGCCGTGGAGGAGCTCCGCAAGCCCAAGCTGAAGCTGGGGCTCAAGGACACGACCGCCAAGAAGGGCGAGAAGGCCGTGCTCAAGGCCGTCATCACGGGCGACCCGGTGCCCGACATCAAGTGGTGGAAGGACGGCGTGGCGCTGCTGCCCGACAAGGACCCCAACGTCATCATCAACTGCGACACCAAGTTCATCCAGGACGACCTCAAGGAGTGCACGTACTCCGTGACCATCCCCAGCGCGCGCCACGGCGACACCGGCCAGTACTCGCTCAAGGCCAGCAACAAGTTCGGCGAGGTCGAGAGCAGCGTGAGTATGCGGCCCAGCAGGCACAGTGGGCCAGAAGACCGGTGGAGGCGGGCAAAACTCTCGACGCGTTTTGAGCTCCAGAGTCGCTAAACAGGACTCGAATCGAGCGCGTGACCCCACCAATTGTTTGCTCTGCGAACGAGGAATCCATTGGTGGGGTCACACGTTCGGTTCGAGTCCCATTTAGCGACTCTGGAGCTCAAAACCCGTCCGCCACCACCGGTCTTCTGGCCCACTGTGCAAGGACACAAGAGGTGAAAACGCGTCCCAAACCGTCCACCTGCTCTCGCCCTGACCGGCCTCCATGCCTCCAGGCCATCCTCAACATCATCCTGCGGCCGGAGATCGAGGGCATGAAGGACAAGACGGGCATCCCGACCACCATCACGCAGTGGGACGTCGTGATCCACGCCAACCCCGCGCCGGAAGTCAAGTGGTGAGTCTGCCAAGTCTGCCAAGTCGGCGCGGAGAGCGCCTGCGGCGTAGGCAACGGCTGGGCGGCTAGCTGCAGCCGTGTACTCGTGTTGCCTACCCGCCATTACCATTACCACTAAGGGCTAGACCACACATGATCGTATGCCATTTCGGGCCCGACACGTGCCCGCCTGCACTGCAAAACGAGAGGCTGGAGGAGAGGCATGAAACGCTCACAATTTTAGGAATTAAATTTTTGAAAATATGTTTTATTTTCATTTTTCTAAATTGTGGTTTGTGCCCGCAGGCTGAAGGACGACCAGCCCATCGTGGCTGACGACCACTTTGAGGTGCTGGAGGACCGCGAGAACGAGACGTACTCGCTGCGCGTCAACGACACGGCCACGGACGACCACGGCGTGTACACCGTCACGGCCAGGAACTCGCAGGGAGACGCCAGCAAGAGCGCGCAGCTCAGCCTCCACAGTAAGTAGCAATGCGGGGGCGCACAGTGGGCCAGGGGACCGAAACTCTGGCCGCGTTTCGAGCTCTAGAGTCGCTAAATGGGACTCGAACCGAACGTGTGACTCCACCGATGGATTGCTCTCCGAACGAGGAATCCATTGGTGGGGTCACACGTTCGGTTCGAGTCCCATTTAGCGACTCTGGAGCTCAAAACGCGTCTAGAGTTTCGGCCGCCTCCACCGTAGGGCAGAGCTGCGACACTGAAGTGCTCTTTGTGGTGGTCCGCCAGCCGAGAAGCCCAGCTTCGTGAAGGACCTCGTGGACCGCATCATCAAGGACGACAGCCCGGTCGAGTTCAAGGTCCGCGTCAACGGCGACCCCAAGCCCAAGATCACGTGGCTCAAGGACGACCGCGAGGTGGTGACGGACGACCGCGTGACGGTGGAGACGTCCATCGAGGGCCAGGTGACGAGCGTGCTGAGCATCAGCCACGTGTGGAAGGAGGACGTGGCCGTGTACACGTGCGTGGCCTCCAACATGGTGGGCGAGGCGCGCACCGAGGCGCAGCTCAACATGGACCAGGCGCCGCCCATGGTCACCATCCCGCTCGAGAAGTGCATCGAGGTGGACGAGGGCGAGCCGCTGGAGATCAAGGTGCGTTGCAGAGGCGCACAGTGGTCCAGAAGACCGGTGGAGGCGGTCGAAATCCCACACGCGTTTTGAGCTCCAGAGTTGCTAAATGGGACTCGAACCGAACGTGTGACCCCACCAATGGATTGCTCTCCGAACGAGGAATCCATTGGTGGGGTTACCCATTCAGTTCGAGTTTTGTTTAGCGACTCTGGAGCTCAAAACGCGTCGAGGATTCCGACCGCCTCCGCCGGTCTTCTGGCCCACTGTCGGGCGTGCTCAGGCGTCTTGTTCCGCGAGTGACAGCCGCCGCCCTCTCTGTCCCCGCAGGGCAAGATCGACGGCAGCCCCGTGCCCATCGCCAAGTGGTTCAAGGACAGCGTCGAGATCAGCCCCGACGACCCGCACGTCAAGCTGACGCTGCTGCCGGACGGCACCGTCAAGCTCAACATCGACGAGGTGAAGCACAACGACGGCGGCGCCTACAAGGTGATGGCCGTCAACAAGAACGGCCAGATGGCGTCGCTGTGCGCCGTGGCCGTCAAGCCCAAGAACCGCGCGCCCGAGTTCACGCAGCCGCTTGAGGGCGCCACGGTGCAGGCCGGCCAGCCCCTCAAGCTGGAGGCGCTCGTCACGGCCTTCCCCGTGCCGGAGGTCAAGTGGTGAGTGGTCGCGTGTTCGATTCCCGGCGGGGGCGAATTTTTTGTTTGATTTTGTTTATTATTATTTATTTTTGTTTTTTTTTCTCAGGTTCAAGGACGGCCACGCCATCCGGCCCTCCAAGGAGGTCAACTTCATCAACGACCCCGTGGGCCACGTCGGCCTGCTGATCGACGCGGCGCGCCCCGAGGACGCCGGCGAGTACACCGTCAAGGTGACCAACAAGCTGGGCGCCATCGAGGGCAAGGCCGTGGCCGTGGTGCAGGAGCGCGAGCGCCGGCCCATGTTCCACGCGCAGCTGCTGCCGCAGAAGGTGGTGGAGGGCTTCCCCGTGCGCCTCGAAGTCAAGGTCGTCGGCCACCCGCCGCCCGTGCTCACCTGGTGCGTGCGCGGCCCACAGTGCGCTGGAGGACCGGTGCAGACGGACAAACACTCTCGACGCGTATTGAGCTGCAGAGTCGCCTAGCGGGACTCGAACCGAACGTGTGACCCCACCAATGGATTCCTCGTTACGAGAGCAATCCATTGGTGAGGTCACACGTTCGGTTTGAGTCCCATTGAGCGACTGGAGCTCAAAACGCGTCCGGGATTTTGGCCGTCCCCACCGGTCTTCTGACCCACGGTCGAACTACCAGCTTGGAAATTTCGTTTTCTCCACATTCTCCGTCACTGCAGGACGTGCAACGGCAAGGAGATCAAGCCGGACGGCAAGAACATCAAGATGGTGTCGCAGCCGACGGCAGCCACGCGCTCGTCATCGAGAAGGTCGGACCAGAGCACGCCGGCGAGTACACCGTCACGGCCACCAACGACCAGGGCAGCGTCAGCTCGAGCGCGCCGCTCGAAGTGCAAGGTAGCGGGTTCAAACACCCCCAAAACTTTTTTTTTTTTTTTTGCTTTTTTGGCATGGATTTTGTGCACGGTCCGTGACTCTTTCGCCCTTTCGCAGGCAAGGAACGCGCCGGCGAGCCCGACGCCGAGCCCTCCTTCATGCGACCCCCGAGAGACACGACGGCGGACGAGGGTGGCCCGCTGAGCCTGAGTGCCACGTTCCTGGGCAACCCCATCCCCGACGTCACCTGGCTCAAGGACGGCCAGCCGCTGGAGCCCTCCGAGCGCGTCAAGATCACCTGCGATGGCAAGAAGGTAAGCTACACTGGAAACTTGCCCCATATACACTCACACTCACAAAGCAGTAAGAGGATGTCAAAATGACGTCAAAGTTATGCTGCCTTTTTTTTGGGGGGGGGGGGGATTTTGACTTAAACTTGTCGTCAAATTGACGTCACTGTGAGCGTTTCGTGTTCTTTGGGTGACTGTGTACTGAGTACACACTGCAATTTTCAGTGGAATCTAGGTCTAGTGACCGAACATTACGTAAACAGTTCCATGTGACTTTCCACATGACATACTCTCCGTCTCAATGTATCCCATCAGGGCGTACAGTTGCTGTGTGTGGATAGAAGTACCCCACAAGTGTAACGAGATTGGCACTTGATTGTCGTTCATCTGAATGTTAATGCAGTACTTTGCTTGTTGTTTCAGGTTGGCTTGGATATCAACCCTTGCGAACTGGCAGATGTGGGCTTGTACACTTGCAGACTCAACAACCCACATGGCACAGCCGAGGCGGCAGCTCAGGCCAATGTGCGCAAGGTGTTCACGCCCGCCTTCTTCGTACAGAAGTTCTCCGACATGCAGCAGGTATTTTTTTTTCAAAAGTTGTCGCTTCAACTTGAAAATCTATGATTCCGCTTTAACTATTAGATATTAAATATAACTCGTTTGCCAAAATTTCTCTGTAATATTTGCATGAACAAAGAAAATTGATAAATAGGTATAAAATTCATATCTTGAAATTATTTATTTTTTCTTCGTATTTTCCTTAGATGCCTGGCCTGGACGCTAAATTCATGGCACGCATTGGAGGCAACCCCAAGCCCACAGTCGGCTGGTTCTTTAACGGCAAGCCCATCGCTGAATCTGACAAGTTCCACATGAAGAGAGATGACGACCACATCTGCCTGTACGTGAAGGATTGCACCAAAAAGGACAACGGAACATACACATGCAAGATTGCCAACACTGCTGGCAAAGCCATGTGTAATGCAGACCTGGAAGTTGTCGACAAAATGTAAGTCCAAAAATATGTTTTCTTGTTGTTGGAGCTGTTTGCACAGTGTGATGGTGATGGCAACGTATTATTTTAATGACAACACACGAGCTGTTCGTTGCTTAATGTGCTGTTTCCAAGACCTAGACAGGCTTGGACTTTGGTGACAATCATAGATGGGTCATCAGAGGGCTCAGTAAGCCACTTGGTGTGTTGCTCGCACCAAGTGGGAGGAATATAATCTCTAGCGAGTTCATATCTCCTCAGTCATCATAGCCCAATCAAAAGTCGGTAAGTCAATACCTTCCTCTGATGACGAATTGGAAGTAATTTCCGGATGACACCCAACCAGGATGGATGCCCTAGTCGCCAGCGGGAAGTACGGCAACTGGGTTGTCCCGGTCGCCGCCTGTCGGTGACTCAGCGAAACACAGCGGTCTAGAAAACCAGTGGAGGCGACCAAAACTCGACGCGCTTTGAGGCTTTGAGCTACAGATTCGTTAAATAGGACTCGAACCGAACGTGTGACCCCACCAATGGATTCCTCGTTAGAAGAGCAATCCATTGGTGGGGTCACAGGTTCGGTTCGAGTCCTGCTGAGCGACTCCGGAGCTCAAAACGCGTCTAGAGTTTTGGCCGCCTCCACCGGTCTTCCGGCCCACTGTGCCTTTGCCTCGAACGCACTGACCCTCCGGAACGTGTCCCGCAGCGAGAAGAAGCAGAAGATGGAGCCGCCGTCGTTCCTGAAGAAGATCGGCGACTGCGAGGTGGTGACGGGCATGTCGGCCAAGTTCACGGCGTGCGTCAACGGCGTGCCGGACCCCGAGTACGAGTGGTTCCGCAACGGCAAGCGCATGGAGCCGGGCGACCGCTTCATCATGGAGGCTGAGGGCTCGGGGCTGCTGCGCCTCATCGTCAAGGACGTGGACCAGGCCGACGTGGGCACCTACCGCCTGCGCATCTTCAACCCGTACGGCGAGGCCTCCTGCGAGGCCGAGCTGCGCTACGACTGTGAGTTGGCGGGCCAGGGTCCGCGGTTCGAGTCCCGGCGCCGGCGGGCCGTTTATCACACGAGTACAGAGCAAACCGGACAACCGAAACAATAACATTAGAAACGAGGGGGGAACGCACAGTCCAATACTGATTTTTTTTCCGTCGTGAGAAATGAAGCAAGTGCACCACAGAAATCAAAACGGACAGGACGTACAAGCACGCGTTTCGTTGAAGCGTTTAACAGAGATTCCATCTCTGCTTTTTTAGCTTTTTCTTTAATCTTTTCGTTTTTGTTCTAAACGCTACCGTTCCTTATCTTTGCACTTGCGATTAGCTTCCCAGCTTTTTACAATTTTCTTCTTGATTTTTTTTTTGTTTTTGACGATCGCTAGGCGCATATTTTTCTCCGTCCAACTTTCGGGCCTAGGACTCAGACCTGCACGGAGCTCTGCACGCTTGCAGCTTTTTTCTTTTCTTTCGTCAAATTGTAGCGCGTTCCAGTCGGACCCCATGACTTGAGCTTCTGGAATGCCCCCCCAAACTTGCCCCCTTAGACTCTAGCCGCTAAGCCTCAAACGGACCAGTGACTCTGCGCCCGCCCCCTGACGCCCTCTGTGTCCTGTATGGCCTGTAGCGCTGGAGACCAAGCAGAAGCCCCTGAGCGACCAGTACCAGGACTTCAAGAAGGTCAAGACGAGCGGCGTGCCCATGCCGCTGCCCAACGCGCCCATCATCAGCCGCATGACGGACCGGCGCCTCACGCTGTCCTGGAGGCCCAGCATCCCCACCGGGCCGCGCGCCCCAGTCACCTACCAGGTAGGACCCATTGTCGGAAGGCCGGCGGAGGCGGCCGAAACTCCAGACGCGTTTTGAGCTCCAGAGTCGCTAAACGGGACTCGGACCGAACGTGTGACCCCACCAATGGATTCCTCGTTCGGAGAGCAATCCATTGGTGGGGTCACACGTTCGGTTCGAGTCCCATTTAGCGACTCTGGAGCTCAAAACGCGTCTAGGATTTCGGGGCAACGCTTGACGCGCGTGGACGTCCTGCTGCAGGTGGAGATGTGCGAGCTGCCGGACGGCGAGTGGTTCACGGTGCGCAAGGGCATCCGCAGCTGCGCGTGCGACGTGCACAACCTGGAGCCCTTCCGCAACTACAAGTTCCGCATCCGCGTGGAGAACAAGTACGGCATCAGCGACCCGTCGCCGTACGCCATCACGCACCGCGAGAAGCTGGAGCCGCCGCCGCCCAAGTTCTTCCCGTACCTGGAGCCGGGCATCGACTTCCGGCCCGAGACCTCGCCCTACTTCCCCAAGGACTTCGACATCGAGAGGCCGCCGCACGACGGATACGCGCAGGCGCCTCGGTGAGTCGCTGCTTGCTCCTCCGCACAGTGAGCCAGATGACTGGGGACGCGGCCGAAACTCTAGACGCGTTTTGAGCTCCAGAGTCGCTAAACAGGACTGGAACCGAACGTGTGACCCCACCAACGGATTGCTCTTCGAACGAGGCATCCATTGGTGGGGTCGCACGTTCGGTTCGAGTCCCATTCAGCGACTCTGAAGCTCAAAAATAGTCTATAGTTTTGGCCACCTCCACCGGTCTTCTGGCCCACTGTGTTTCGCCCTGGAGTCCTGGAACTACTCCTACTTCGCTGGCTTCCGGGCATTCGGGCCATTCCCAAGCGCCACCCCGCCACCCTCTCCACATATCGAACCGAAATTTATTTTGTGGTGTTGCCACCAGGTTCCTGCGCCAGGAGCATGACACGCAGTACGGCGTCAAGAACCACAACTGCAACCTGATGTGGTTCGTGTACGGCTACCCCAAGCCCGTCATGAAGTACTACTTCAACGACGAGCTGATCGAATCGGGCGGCCGCTTCGACCAGAGCTACACCCGTAACGGCCAGGCCACGCTCTTCATCAACAAGTGAGTCCAAACTGCAACTGGAGTCCGGGTTCGAACGTCCACTGTGCTTGTATCAGTACCAAATTATACATTGCAAAACAGTCGACAAAGTCGAATCAGTGGGGATATGATCAGATTAGATAATGATTGTTTGATCATCGTAGGGCTCAGATAGTCACTCGGTGTGTTGCAAGCACCAAAGTGGGAGGATTATAATCTCTAACGAGTTCATAGTTCCTCAGTCATCACAGCCCAATCAAAGGTGGTAAGTTAATACCTTCCTCCGATGACGAATTGTGCGGACTATCCGGATGACGCCTAGCCACGCTGGCCACCGTGGTCGCCAGCGAGAAGTACGGCGACCCGGTTTCGGGCCGGAGCTCCCAGGTGTCGCCACTGGGCTCGGGGGAACCACGACAGTGAGCCACGATCGGTGGAGGCGGTCAAAATTCCCGGACGCGTTTCGAGCTCCAGAGTCGCTAAATAAGACTCGAACCGAACGCGTGACCCCACCAATAGATTGCTCTCCGAACGAGGAATCCATTGGTGGGGTCACACGCTCGGTTCGAGTCCTGCTTAGCGACTCTGGAGCTCAAAACGCGTCTAGAGTTCTGGCCGCCTCCACCGGTCTTCTGGCCCACTGCGCACGAAAGGCGAGACTGACGTGTGCGGCACACTGTGCGCTGCCCGCAGGATGCTGGACCGCGACGTGGGCGTGTACGAGGCCGTGGCCACCAACGAGCACGGCGAGGCGCGGCAGCGCGTGCGCCTTGAGATCGCCGAGTTCCCCGTGTTCCTGAAGCGGCCCGAGGAGACCACCATCATGCACCGCAAGGGCACCCGCGTGGAGGCGCGCGTCATCGGCGTGCCGTACCCGGACATCAAGTGGTTCAAGGACTGGATGCCCATCGTGTCCTCGGAGCGCATCAAGGTGCGTGCGCGAGTGCTTTGTCCAGCCGCGAGGTTGCTGGAGAGCTCTAAACCGCCACACAGTGGGAGAAGACCGGTGGAGCGACTCTAGACGAGTTTTGAGTTCCAGAGTCGCTAAATGGGACTCGAACCGAACGTGTGACCCCACCAATGGATTGCTCTCCGAGCGAGGAATCCATTGGTGGGGTCACACGCTCGGTTCGAGTTCCATTTAGCGACTCTGGAGCTGCGTGCGAGATTCTGACCAACTCCACCGGTCTTCTTACTCACTGTGCGACGCTCTGCCCCGCAGATCGTGTTCGTGGAGCCCGACACGTGCCACCTGCACATCTCGGACGCCATCAACCGCGACGAGGGCCTGTACTCCATCACGGCCTCCAACGTGGCGGGCTCGGTGAGCCACTCCATCATGATCCACGTGGAGGAGGACGAGCGGCGCTACTGGGACCAGACGTACATGCGGCCCAAGCCGGTGCGGCCGCACAAGGAGATGCCGCTGTCGGAGGCCTACGACCTGGGCGACGAGCTGGGCCGCGGCACGCAGGGCATCACGTACCACGCCGTCGAGAGGAGCACTGGTGAGCCGTCGTTGGGGCGGCACAGTGGGCCAGAAGACCGGTGGAGGCGGTCAAAATTCCCCACGCGTTTTGAGACCCAGAGTCGCTGTATAGGACTCGAACCGAACGTGTGACCCCACCAATGGATTGCTCTCCGAACGAGGAATCCATTGGTGGGGTCACTCGTTCGGTTCGAGTCCCATTTAGGGACTCTGGAGCTCAAAACGCGTCCAGAGTTTTGGCCGCCGGCGCCGGTCCTCTGGCCCACTGTGCGCGGGTTCGAATACTGCTTCAGCCATACGTTAAACCTTTTTTTTGCAGGCCGCAACTACGCGGCCAAGGTGATGCACGGCAAGGGCGAGCTGCGCAAGTTCATGGACAACGAGCTGGAGATGATGTCCGTGCTGCACCACCGGCGCCTCATCCGCCTGCACGACGCGTACGAGAGGAACGACGGTCTGACGCTCGTCACGGACCTGGCCGCGGGCGGCGAGCTGCTGGACGTGCTCACCAGCCGCCCGTTCTACACCGAGTACGACATCGCCGGCTACATCCGCCAGCTGCTCGAGGGCCTGGAGCACATGCACTTCCTCAACGTCGCCCACCTGGGGCTCACGGTCAGTGGCGGGGCGTAGCGGAGCGCGGCAGTGGGCCAGAAGACCGGTGGAGGCGGCTGAAGCTTCAGACGCGTTTTGAGCTCCAGAGTCGCTGAGCAGGACTCGAACCGAACGTGTGACCCCACCAATGGATTCCTCGTTACGAGAGCAATCCATTGGTGGGGGTAACACGTTCGGTTCGAGTCCCATTTAGCGACTCTGGAGTTCAAAACGCGTCCGGGATTTTGACCGCCTCCACCGGTCCTCTGGCCCACTGTGCGGGGAGTGACAAGTCGTGCAGAGTGAGACGGACTTGCCCCTAAACTCGTGTGGTCTCCCTCTTACAGCCCGGCGACCTGCTCCTTGCGCACCCCGGCGGCGACGACCTCAAGATCTGCGACTTCGGCCTGGCGCGACGCATCTCGGCTGGCGGGCTGCACCCGCTGTTGTACGGTAAGGGCACGGTTCCCATTTAGCGACTCTGGAGCTCAAAACTCGTCTTGAGTTTTGGTCGCCTGCACCGGTCTTCTGGCCCACTGTCCCCGTGTTCGCAGGCATGCCGGAGTTCGTGGCGCCCGAGGTGATGCGCGGCGACGGCGTGGCGCTGAGCGCCGACATGTGGTCCGTGGGCATCATCACGTACCTGCTGCTGTCGGGCCGCTCGCTCTTCCGCGGCGAGAACGACCGCGAGACGCTCACCAAGATCAAGGAGGGCAAGTGGGCCTTCGACGAGGACCTGTTCTCCAACTACTCCGCCGAGGCGAGGGACTTCATCTCCAAGCTGCTGGTGTACGTGCCGGGCGCGCGTCTCAACGTGGAGCAGGCCCTGGACCACCCGTGGTTCAACATCCTGCACCGCGAGCCCTACGACCCGTACCGCATGAGCACGGACGCCCTCAAGAACTACTACAACCTGTACAAGTACGTGAACCGCCTGTCGCGCTGTCGCCCTGTGGTCGAAGGCCGTGGCGATACTCCGTGCGGGAAGGGCTGGCCGATTAGCCCATCGGCACGGAGTATCGCCGGGTCTTCCCCTGCGCACAGCGTGCCCGAAGACCGGTGGAGGCGGCCAATATCCCAGACGCGTTTTGAGCTCCAGGGTCGCTAAAAGGGACTCGAAACGAACGTGTGACCCCACCAATGGATTGCTCTCCTAACGAGGAGTCCATTGGTGCGGTCATACGTTTGGTTCGAGTCCTGTCTATCGACTCTGGAGTCCGGGATTTTGACCGCCTCCACCGGTCTTCTGGCCCACTGTGCTGCGGTTAGCTGAACTCGACTAACGTTCTCGGCCTGGGCGGACAGGGACTGGTACAGCAACGCGTCGTGCCGCAACTGGTACCGCCGGCGGCCGCTGGAGGGCGCCTTCACGCACCCGTCCAAGATGGTGTACCCGCCCTACGAGCGCTACACGCCCGAGCCCACGCCGGAGCGCGAGCCCTACAAGTCGCGCAACTGGGAGGAGGAGATCCACACGGGCGGCACCGACCTCAACTACGAGATCGGCCTCATCAAGTCGGAGAGCCAGTGAGTTGTGTGGCGTCACCACGTGTAATCCCACTCACAGTGGCCCAGCAGGCCGATGCAGGCGGCCAGACGCGCTTTGAGCTCCAGAGTCGCTAAACAGGACTCGAACCGAGCGTGTGACCCCACCAATGGATTCCTCGTTCGGAGAGCAATCCTTTGATGGGGTCACACGCTAGATTCGAGACCCATTTAGCGACTCTGGAACTCAAACCGCGTCTAGAATTTTTGCCGCCTCCACCGGTCCCCTGGCGCAATGTGCGACGTTGTCCGTGACGACGGCTGTCTTGTCCTGCTCCACAGCTACCAGAACGGCCCGGACACGTACCTGCTGCAGCTGCGTGACGTGGACTTCCCCGTCCGGCTCCGCGAGTACCTCAAGGTGGCCGCCAACCGGGGCCCCGGCTACTCTCGCATCGTGACGGACCAGAGCCATCTGGACTGGCGGGTGAGTGAGTCTTGAGTGCGGTCGCCCTACAGTGGCCTTGGCGAAGCCTCGCGCCGCGGGGTATCGGCGGACCGGAGTATCGCCAGTGTAGCGGACGCGGCACTGGCGCCGCCACGCATCGGTTCGCGGAACCTGGTCGCCATACTTCTCGCTGGCGTCCACGCGCGCCAGTTTGGTTGGGTCGCGCCCGAATCAGCTCTCAGTTTGTCGTCAGAGGAAGGTATTAACTTACCACCTTTGAAACGGGCAGTGATGACCGAGGTGATATGAACTCGTTAGAGATTATTCCCTCCCACTTGGTGCCAACAACACACCAGGTGGCTTTCTGAGCCCTCCGACGACTTTCCTGTATTAGTGATCTATTATTGGCTGCAGCCGCTATGCACTAACAGACTTCCATGGTGGGAAGTATCCACGAAATGGCATGTTTGAAACGAAGCTCAGTGGACCAGAAGACCGGTGGAGGTGGCCAAAATTCTAAACGCGCTTTGAGCTGCTGAGTCGCTAATTGTGACTCAAACCGAACGTGTGACCCGACCAATGGATTCCTCGTTCGGTGGGCAATCCATTGGTGGGGTCACACGTTCGGTTCGAGCCCCATTTAGCGACTCTGGAGCTCAAAACGCGTCTAGAATTGTGGCCGCCTCCACCGGTCTTCTGGCCCACTGCGCGATGCTGATGCCTGCACGGCTGCCCCGACACAGGCGCCGGTGATCCGCGAGCGGCGCCGCTTCACGGACGTGATGGACGAGGAGATCGACGACGAGCGCAAGGCGCGCATCAACAAGTACGGCTCGGACAGCGTGTACAGCCTGCGCCGGCTGCGCCACGAGCTGGGCACGCGGCTGGACGGGCACGCCGAGGCCGAGGCCATCATGCAGACGCGCCACGAGGAGCAGGACGGCCACCTGCCCTTCTTCCGCGAGAAGCCGCTCACCATCCCCATCGTGGCCAACGAGGACGTGGAGATCTCCTGCCTGGTGGTGGGCGACCCCAAGCCGCTGGTGCAGTGGTACAAGTAAGTCGAAGGCTAAGGGCTGAGCTTCGCTGACGCTCAGTGGGCCAGAAGACCGCCGCAGGTGCTGGCCGCCTAATTCTAGACGCGTTTTGAGCTCCAGAGTCGCTAAGCAGGACTCGAACCGAGCGTGTGACCCCACCATTGGATTCCTCGTTCGGAGAGCAATCCATTGGTGGGGTCACACGTTCGGTTCGAGGCCCCGTTTAGCGACTCTGGAGCTCAAAACGCATCTTAGAGTTTCGGCGTTTCGGCCGCCTTCGTCGGTCTTCTGGCCCACTGTGTGATGTCATGACGTGTACTGACGGTGTGGTGGCGCTCTGCGCGCGGCAGGTGCGACATGGTGCTGCAGGAGACGGTGCGCATCTCGTTCAAGGAGGACGACGAGGGCCGCAGCATCCTGCGGCTGGGCCCGGCGCACAACATGGACATCGGCATCTACAAGGTGGTGGCGCGCAACAAGGGCGGCCAGACGGTGGCGCGCTTCCGTGTCGTCCTGGCCGGCGTGCCGGACTCGCCGGACTCCCCCGACGTGGCCGACGTGTCCGACGACGAGGTGTTCCTGCGCTGGAAGCAGCCCCGCGACGACGGCAACACCGCCGTGCTGTGCTACGCCCTGCAGTACAAGGAAGTCGGCAAGTACCCCGCGGTGGCGCCTGCCTGTGCACATGGCTCTGTGGCGTCACGTTTCGCAAGAGCCCAGTAATCACACTAAAAAAACAATCAAATTTAAAAAATGAAATTTTTTATTTGGGAAAAAAAAAACAAAAACAAAAACTTCTGCGTTAAAATTATAGTAGTATTTTTCAAAACAAATATGTATTTACAAGATTGCTGCTTTTGCGTTGCAGACGGTGACCACTGGATAGACATTGCCAAGAATATCGACCACGAGTTCTACGTGGTGAAGAACCTCCAGCAAATGAGCCGCTACTACTTCAGACTGGCAGCCAAGAACCGTGTCGGCTGGAGCGACTATGGTATTCCCATCAAAGTCAAAACTAAACCCACTGGTGAGTTGTTATTGTTTGTTTTTTTACTTCATTTTGTCGGCATATGGCTAGTAAATAATTTCACTCTCATCGTGCTTTCAGGTGTGCCAAAGGTGGAGATAACTCGTGCCATGGCACACCTTCAGTCCATCACAGAGTCTGGCGCTGAGGTAAATGAATTGGAAGCTGCACCGAAATTGGACTACTCTGTTGAAAACCGCGCCATCAACTGGATTCCTGAGCATGAAGTATCCGATAAATACCACTTTATTTCAGAAATTTCAAGGTATGCTGTGGCTGAATGAGGGTTCCTTTTTTACCACTGTAGAGGGTAGTTCTTTTGGTATTTATTCTACTTTGCTGTTTTGTTTTCTCTTCTCAGAGGGCGGTTCTCAGTTGTTGTTAAAGGAGTTGAAAAAGCGAATGATCATATAGTTGCGGGAAAACTTTTAGAACTACGACCAGAGAGAGAGGTTGCTGTCAACAGAGAGTTTGAGGCACTGCGTCGTCTTCGACATGAACGTATCGCCCAGCTTATTGAAGCATACAGGGCACCTGGATCAGAAGTAGCTGTTCTGATCTTGGAAAAACTTCAGGGTGCTGATGTTCTTACATATTTCTCTAGTAGGCACGAGTACAATGAACAGATGGTCTGCAATGTTGTGAGTCAGGTCAGTGACATTGTATTTTTTAATGTATTTTTACAACTCCTACTCCTAAATTCAGACCAACGAGGATGGCATTTTTAATTTATTACTCCTCTCTTTAGGTACTAGATGGTCTTCAATATCTGCAGTGGCGAGGACTGTGCCATTTAGACTTGCAGCCCGACAACATAGTTATGGCCTCCGTCCGTAGTTTACAAGTGAAATTAGTGGATCTTGGGTCTGCACAAACTGTCAGTAAACTGGGCACCCTGGTGGATAGAGTGGGTCATATTGAATTCTCATGTAAGGCTTCATCTTTGTTTTCTTTGTGTTTCAATTCATTTGTGTTTAATGCACTATGACATGTGACATTAAATTAATTTTCTTTGCAGCACCTGAAATGTTAAATGATGAGCCAGTATTCCCACAATCAGACATGTGGTCATTGGGTGTTGTCACATATGTTCTTCTGTCTGGAGTTTCTCCATTCCGTGGTGAAAATAATGAAGAAACGAGACAGAATGTTCTCTTTGTCCGATACCGCTTTGAGCACTTATTTAAGGAGCTGACACAGGAGGCAACAAGATTTTTAATGCTCATCTTCAAACGCACTCCTACGTAAGAGCAAATAGAATAACAAAGAGATCTTATATTTTATTGTTGTAGAACATTGTTTTCAAAAAACAACTGTTTTCTTCTGTTTCCTTTTTTTTTAGAAAACGGCCTACCATTGAGGAATGTCATGAACATCGTTGGCTCCTACCAACAGAGTTCATGATCAAGAAGAGGGAGAGAGCCTCATTCCTGGGAATGCGTCTCAAGGTAATTTAATTTAGTCATAACATTTACCTCTTCCCAGCAGTCCAAACATGTTACAGGGGTACACAATTTGTTTTTTTTAAATGTTTTTTTTTTGCAGGACTTCTGTGATGAATATCACACAATGAGGGAACGGCAAGCCATCAATGCTGATTCTCTGGTCGGCTCAATTTCATCAAGCGCTGGTGACTCGAGTCGAAGATTGACATTGTCACGTTCAGACAGCATAGTAGAAGAGCTGAGCAATGCTTTCCAGAATGGAGCGGTTGAATAAATGAAATGATGTAATTTTCACAAACATCGTTAGACCTAATAATTAATTGTATGTTTCAGGCATACACGGAATAACTTTATAATTATTATTCAGTTTTGTACATTGTAGCAAATGTGATCTGAATTGCTATATTTTTTTAGATGTTGCTCATGCTGTCTTTACGATAGAGGCAAGAATGTGATTGTACAGTTGTGGATTTTTTTTGTTGGGGGTATTATTTTTTACTTGTAAGAGGCAGAATTAAGCAATTGGTGATGGCATTAGATTTTAGTGAATTTAGAGGTCAAAATTCATGAATCACTATCATCTAGAAATTGACTTTGTTTTCTCTGGTAAAAGCAACGTCTAAAAGAAAAAGTTTGCTCTTAGACCATAAGCTTACAATATAACTTGCCTCTAAGCAAATGTAGCTGGAAGAAAATGATCAATTTGTGCCTTGCTGCTGCACCTGCCAATTCAATAGCACATTTTGCAGATTAAAATTGTCTTACGTTAAGCTGTTTCATTTGTTATCATGTCGTTGTAAGTGGATAAGAATTACCATTATCATTTGTTTATTGTAAACCGATGCATTAGTCTTGCCTGATTACATGAAGGTGTTTGTTACTTGTCGTTTTTAATTAGGTAGGCAACCAATTCGACATGTCTCAGAGCGGTGATAGGATGTTAGAGACGACGTATAAGTCTCCAAGAAAAGGAAGCTAACACTTTTTTCCCTCGTTCATCGTTCTCTCGCGTGGGCAGTGTCTCTCGCCGCTTTGACTAGTCTGTCAGCATCATTCATTTCCAGCCTCCGATTGAGGCACAGTATCTTTACACCTGTCACCATTTTGCTACTTAAGTGCCACCATTGGCAGCCCCATCCTCGGGTGTTGTATTAAGTTCGTCGCGAGAGGACGCTGCGCACGCTGTTGGCAGCGCCGCCCGGGAGAGGAGTTCGGTTCAAATCCCAGGTATAGAAATGTTTTCCTCTGTTGAACCTCGAATCCGGTAACTTACCATTACTTCCAAGATTGGCGAGCGAATTTTCATCGTCTCGGTGGCTGGGAGCGCAGAGGAGGTGTTCGCGCTGAGAGACTTGGATTCGAATCCCGGGTACCGAAACATTTTTCTCAGTTGACTGCATGAATGCGGTACAATGAGCCTAAGTTCAGACTGGTTGGCATTAAGGAGAGCCTCGGTGGCTCAGGGGGCTGAGGTGTCGGTCGTGGAGAGAAGCACTCGGGTTCAAATCCCGGCTAAGAGTATGGCTTATGTTTTCGCCGCGGTGCTGCTTTTGCAGCAGCGTGTCAGATGGGTGGCCTACCTTGACGGCGCGGCTCATACACTGAATTAAAGGCCAGATCTTCCAAACAATCCTGGCTGTTAATAGACGCGCAGCACACACTCACACTCGTCTGTCTTTCCCTCAAAGAGTGCAAAAGAGAGTTCCTGCCGTCAGCCTCCACCCAAGCGTGGCAAATGGGTGGTCTATCTTGGTGGCGCTGCTCTCTGTATATCACCTCTAGGATGCAAAAGAGTTCCCGCCGTCGGCTCCCACCCCCCCTACCCCCCCTCCCAGAAGGAGAGGGGAGTAGGGGCAATCATAAAGGGTTAGTAACCTGACCTGGCTGGTAGCGAACCAGGTCCAACGGGAAACATGTGCTGCCGCATGGCCTCCAACGGCCCATCGCTCTGCCACCTGAGCTACGACAACACACCTGTCCGACACGTCCTATCTTAGAGTGATGGTACCGGGGTTGAGAAGTAACCTGAGGAAAAGATTCACTCACCTGGGAGTCGAACCCAGGACTTCCCGCCGCCGGCCGACACCTCTACCATATCGACCAACCAGCCACTGAGAAGCAACGCGATCAAACTTAGAGTGATGGTACCGGATTTGAGAAGTAACCTGAGGAAAAGATTCACTCACCTGGGAGTCGAACCCAGGACTTCCCGCCGCCGGCCGACACCTCTACCATATCGACCAACCAGCCACTGAGAAGCAACGCGATCAAACTTAGAGTGATGGTACCGGATTTGAGAAGTAACCTGAGGAAAAGATTCACTCACCTGGGAGTCGAACCCAGGACTTCCCGCCGCCGGCCGACACCTCTACCATATCGACCAACCAGCCACTGAGAAGCAACGCGATCAAACTTAGAGTGATGGTACCGGATTTGAGAAGTAACCTGAGGAAAAGATTCACCACCTGGGAGTCGAACCCAGGACTTCCCGCCGCCGGCCGACACCTCTACCATATCAGCCAACCAGCCACTGAGATTCCGTTCCCGGGGTCGTCTCTCTCAAGGCCATGGCCACTACTTCCTTCCAAATTATTTATCCCAAGCGTAGCAGTGCCGGGAAGGTAGACCTCCCCTTTGGCGCGAGGAGTATCCCGTGGAAAATGTTCGGCTCTCACGCCTCTCAAGTCAAGCAGCTCTGGGCCCCTGGGCCCGAAATGGCATACGATCATGTGTGGTGTAGCCCTTAATGGTAATGGTAGGCAGGCAGCCTCCGGGCGCTGAGCGCACGCGTGCTGTGCGGATGGCCTATCCTGCCATTGGCAGGCGCTTCCGTCATGGACTCTGCCGCATCATGCCATCTTTGAGTCAAAGCGACTTGGTAAGCTCAATGTATGCTTTAGATTGAGTGACTGAGTCTGTCAACAAATTGTGTCTTGGGCGCTGCAGCGTCGTGCCAGCTTGGTGCTGTTTTGTCTTGTAGCGCCTGCGGCGGTGGTCTAGCCCTTAATGGTAATGGTACAGGGTAGGCCGGCCCGCAACACACGCATGCCTCGCGGTGGCCTAGCGCAGTCTCGCAGGCGCCTGGCGTTTGAGTCCCCGCAGTGGGCCTTTCGGGTTTACTCACTGAATTAAGAGAGACTCGCAATTAAGGTCGAAAGCCTAGTTTTATTTCTTAAGTATAATAACAAAACTGTTGACAGTCTTTTATTAATTAACATCTAATTTACAATAGACTCTGATGCGGTAGTGTGCCGCGCCCTACTCTAAGTTCACCCTTTACAACAGTAGACTCTACCAGAAGGATTTACAATCAATGCTGAAAATAGAAAAGCCAATATTAATATTATGAGAAATATTATTTGTATGAAGGTAGAGAGTGGTAGAACAGAATAACTCTTCAAGGAGATGTAACTTCTTAACACACAGCTATTTCTCTTTGTGCTGGTTGTGGACCAGGATGACAGTGACTCTTTTCTTTGATGAGTGAAAAGTCTCACCATAAGTTGGTGCCAAGCTAGAGTTTTAATTATTTGAAATAATCAAGTGAATTTGTATTGCTATTTAGAATTTGGGTTTAATTTAATTTCTTCATTATCCTTTTCCGAAGCATTATTCAAAATGATGTGCATAATGGCATAGTTATGGAGGCATATGCTGCTTTTTGGAAGTCTTGTGATTTTCCCAAGAACCAATAGATATTATCACATTTGACTTTGCAGCATCCCATTTATGTCCCACGAATAAGGGACTTATTTATCAATTTTTAAAACTGGCCTGAATTGGTGAGACCTTTCACACACGAAAAAAGGGACTGCCCTGTATATATTGGAGCCTGCTTGAAAAATAGTTTACGCATGTGCATGGAGACTGATTAGAATTCAAAGATAGTAGATTTACCAGGAGTCCCAACAAATTCAGTATAGATTTTATCATTCGAACTAGGTCTTTCAATGAACCCTGCTGTGTGAAAACATTTACAAGCGCAATGTCCCGTGCGGTCTGTTCATGCTTCCCAAATTCCTTAATAATGGACCTGCCACATTTATCTGAAACAAAATTCCTTGCAGTGAATCAATCCTTGGCCTGAGTGAGCGAAGGTAATTTTACACAAAGTGAGGGGACTAAGGAATTTGCTAGCCAATAGGATTTCGAAACATGAAACCACTTCACACAGCAGCTGTACCATTTGAAGACATGTTAGAATCATAACAAGTCTACAAAAATAAAGGAAATCAACAGCCTAACAAGTTATAGCCCTCATTTCTATAAAAAAAAGAAAAGAAAAGCTACAGTACACAATATCACAGCCAGCCTCAAAACCTTTGCGACTTGCATTGACAAGATCACATGGGATCACTGCAGAGAACTGTTACACTATTTCATGTTTACTCACAATCAGTTTACCACAAAATGCACAACACTGTGGATATATAAAAACTGTTCTGTAAAGCACATAATAACAAAAAGTGTGTATATAGATTCAACAGTGAAGCGTGACAGTTCTCTGCAAGAAGCCCCTCGGTGAAGAGAACCAGCACTCATTGCAAACAAGATAAAATAACGATAAGTTTCACAATCCATTCAATATATTAGTCACAGACACACATGATTTGGTAAGAGTTGTGCTGTGGACTTCTGCATATTGGCAGTAAATGGGCGCAAGTGTCGCCTTTATTGCTCTTGCCCTGCAGGCCTACTTCCAAACCGAGTCTTAGGCCCTCTAGAAAACATGCTTCCCACGTAGCATTGATTAGAGTCCACAAGAAATCCATCCTTACAAGTATAAACAACCAAATCAACCATTCAAGGAGGACGATTGCACCATAATTATTTTTGTTACAGAAGATTTCATTTTGGATTCATTACAGTTATTTTGAGCATCTAATTTAAAGCTACAACTGTACACAATATCTAAAAATTGCACTTGTTTCTAGTAATGTTCACTTCAGAAGAAATCTGTGAATTGTCCGTTTCTTCTGATACAAAAGTAGACAAAACTTGCCTATGTAAATGGTTTTGTTTTAAAAGTGAAATATTACATAACATTCACATCCTTAAGCTAGTAACAAAATGTGTTTGAAAACGCAGCCACGCAGCACAACGTAGTTCAGATTATAAGAATTCCAGACTGGAAAAGTAACAATCCTTTTGAGGATGAGAGGGAAGCAATCATTCCCCTAAGCTCTAGAATTCGCCGAATCATAGATTTCTAAACGGAATGATAGCTACCCTCTAGAGTACATAAAAAGATAAACTCAAGACCAGATGTCAAGGCAGAAGAGAAAAATAAACCACAAAACAAATGTAGTCATAAACAAAATTGAATCAAATTTGTACAAACAAGCATTTAATGCCTCAAATAAAATGTAGAGTATAGTGCAGAAATTCACTGGAACAGCATTCTCACCGGAGCACCATAAGACTAGTAACTTGATTTGCTTACCGATGTAAGTATCTTCAGTCTCTAGTCACTCAATTAGTAAAATCTTACATTGGCAGTACAGTGTCTTTGGAATAATTGAATCGATACAATGCTAAGGAACCAAAGGCTTCCATGTTTCTCCACCTTCTTATTCATTAGCTGTCAGCATTAAAATATCAGTACAAAAGGCACATCGTTGTTCAAAATTGAAATTATTGCTTTGACTTTTTCTCCTGAATATCACGACCTGCGCTAAAAAGCAGTTTGGCGGATTCATAGCGCCTTTCCCTGGGAAGAACCCTGAATGAAAATAGTCTTCCTTTCTCCATTTGCACTGCACATTCAATAAATATGGCAAGATTTCATGAGAAGCAAATGCATAATATTTTTTCAGGACCCCAACTGAACTATATGGCAACCAATTTGTACTCTAGTTCCAATCACAAGTGCCTGTAAGATTCAGTCTAGCCTGGGCGCGTACTGCCTATTGGTTTCATCGCATTGGCAAAGCGTTAAAATCAGACACTTGACCAAAATGTTCCCTTTCTTACATCACTGACCTGCACAACAAGAATACCACTGCAGAGCAGCATAGCTCACAAAATTAAGCATACTCTATAGGCTTTTCTTTCCCATCAAGACAAGACTTCAACAATCCATGTTGATCAAAGTTTCACCTGGGAACAGTTGATTGAACTCTCTGTGTATGGGTACCAAGGGACCTAGAGCCAAGGTTGCACTATGCACTAATGCAAAAGCGTGAAAATTCTCACAGCCCAGCAACGGAACTACTAGAGTGCCTATGAAGAGGTGACCTACAATTTTGCCTGCTGTCTGGTCAGTAAGAGAGTTCTAAGTAATCACCAACAACTCCCTACAAAACTCCAGGAAAATTTTAAATGACCTTCAACAGGCACTGTAACACTAAGAAGAACAGCCATGCCATTAAGATATGTTTGTTTAAGATTCATCAAAGGAACGGAATGCGCAAGTATAGGCACTACACCGCTATCACAGAGCCTCCACGTAAGAAACACAACGGAAAACTCTTCCGGGTAAAAAATATATATGTATATGTTCATATATATATGTATATATATGTTTGTATTTATATATAGAATATGTATATAAATTTTGTTCTAATAAAAGTCTGACCAAGCAGAGACTAGTCAACAAGGAATATTTGTCTACATATTAGTGACTAAAGTTAGCCTAGTAATGAAAACAATTATTAGTACAAATATAATTGCTCAAGTAATCTAAAAGTAGAAACCTCATCGTGCAAATAGGTCATCCACAAAATTGTATATACAAAATACTCTAGCAAAAGTCTACATAAAAAAGGCCAATATGTTCGGAAAATAGGACAAGTTTACAAGCCAAGTCTTGGCTTAAAGATATTGCTTATAATGAGGACTGAGCTCTCCATTCAATTCTCGTTAATTGTCTTGTCTTTTTTCTAAATCAGTGCTGAATGACTTGTGACTTCGGTGAGATTTGCCTGACGAATTTCTGCACTGTTACTCATTATTGCTCCACAAACATAATAAATACAACCTTACAAATAGCCTCCAAAGGGGGAAAAAAAGAAACAATTAACAACACAGCAGTTAACAGCCAGATTTTGCACCGCAACGCATAACGAAAGTTTTACATATATCACATTATCGCTCTATTACAATTCGGTGGTACAAGAGCACTCACCACATGAAGAAGAATAACTGGAATGATCCACTTGTCATCTTTGGGGAGCGGGGGAGGATAGGGAGCACTAGGAAGTCGACAGGGAGACTTGAGGGAGGCCGTGGCCCTGGCCGTGGCCCTGGCCAGGGTGTGGGCCGTGGTTGGGTCGTGATTGGTCTGAGAGTCACCCCGGATGATGAGTACAAAAATAACTCTAGTTTGTCTTGGGTAGTGGCGGTCAGGGGCTGAAGGGGCTGGGGTCATTGGAACGCCGTGTCTTTGTGAAACGTGTCCGACTTGTGGAAGAGCGGCCTGGCGGCCCCGACGGCCAGCGACGCCAACGGCGGCATCTCCTGCGAACTTGCCGCCACGAAGTTGTTCTCGCTCTTGGGCCGCGGCAGGCTGGGCAGGTTCAGGATGTGCAGGGAGTGGCCGGCTAGCTCGTGCAGGCTCTTGGACGTCTCCGAGGACGAGTGCCTGCCCACGGACTCCTCGGATGTGTCCACGATGTCCGCCTGCTCCGCCAGGGCGTTCACCACCGCGTTGATGGTCTTCGAGTCGGAGCCCAGCTCCTCCTCTTCCTCCTCCCGGTGCGACACCAGGTTCGGGTTCTTGCCGATCTTGTTGAGCCTGCGGACAGGGAAACGACGACAGGGCGAGCATCAGCGTCAGGTGGGCCGGAAGTCGCTCTGTCTCTCTCGCACGTCGCAGGTCGGCCCACTAGCGCGAGGGACAGAGCGACGGTTCGCTATCAAACGGCTGAGGTCGCGTGCCGCAGCACAGTGGGCCAGCAGAACGGTGGAGGTGGTCAAAATCCCGGACGCGTTTTGGGCTCCAGAGTCGCTAAATTGGACTCGAACCGTACGTGTGACCCCACCAATGGATTGCTCTCCACACGTGGAATCCATTGGTGGGGTCACACGTTCGGTTCGAGTCCCATTTAGCGACTCTGGAGCTCAAAACGCGTCTAGAGTATTGGCCGCCTGCGCCGGTCTTCTGGCCCACTGTGCGTGGGCGTGCTCACCGTCGCCTCGCTACGCGGCCACCCGTCCGCCGCGGGCGCCGGATGGGTGGCCTACCTCACGGTGCGGACGGCGCGGCGCCCCGCTTGCAGGAACGACAGAGGACGCGTGCGGACGGGGAGCTTCGTCATGCCAGTCATGCCAACCGAATTCCGAGTTCCGGCAAGGATTCGCCATTCGCCACGGAAAGCAGACTCACTCCTCGACAGCGAGGAGAATAAACAGCAGCGGAACAGGCCGCGGGGTGTTTCGGACGCATCCAATTTTATTGGCAAGGTGAAAGCAGAGGGTACATAACAACTAAGGCGAAGGTTTGACCAAGCTATCACTGCTGCATGCCCGCCTGGGGCGCTGTCCCGCGGTTTCTCGTTCGAGGTTCGAGCGGCGCACAGTGGGCCAGACGACCTGCGGAGGCGGACAAAACTGTAGACGCGTTTTGAGCTCCAGAGTCGCTAAATGGGACTCGAACCGAACGTGTGACCCCATCAATGGATTGCTCTCCGAACGAGGAATCCATTGGTGGGGTCACACGTTCGGTTCGAAGCCTGTTTAGTGGCTCTTGAGCCCAAATCGCGTCTAGAGTTTTGTCCACCTCTACCGGTTTTCTGGCCTACTGTGCGGCGAGTCAGCGCGGGTTCGGCCTACTGCCGCGGAGCGCGCTAGCGTCCGCGAGGCCGATGGGTTGCCTACCCAGAGCGGCACGCGCCAGTGTACATGCAGTAGGCTGATTCCGAAAGTCGCATCGTCGCTCTGTCTCTCTCGCACTCGTGGGGAGTCCCGCAGGCTACCGCAGGCGTGCGAGAGAGACAGCTCGACGGACAACACCTCGGAGTCACTTGGCCATGGGACGGAACAAAGTTTCTCTATCTACATTACAACCCGCAGGCTGTCATGGCTTCGATCACAGTTTAGTTGCATGCCGCTGTGTTCGTTAAAAAACTATATTTTCATTTAATTTAAATTTAAAGAGCGACAGCAGAATGGACGGTAAGGAGTCTGAAGCGACATATTATAGGAGAGCAACGCAATTACGACCGCTCCGGCCTCAAATATTGTATTATCACAGATTTGCTATCAGAAGGAATTTGAATGAATTCCTTGAAATGAAGCAGAAATCACTTTCCGCCCAGCGAGAGACAAATTTTTGTTAAAGTCTCACGTGGAAACGGACTCAGAACATGAATCGGCGCGCTCAAGGCCTTCACAGAAACGCCTAAGGAATCCATGCGCATGCAGGCATTTTTCTGAGTCCCAAGCAGCGGCCCAGCACAAAGGCAAAATCAGGTCAGTTTTGACGTCATCGCGACGTCCAATCGACCGTATTTTGCCGAGCAGGACTTCAAGTTTCGTTTTCGTTCGGAGACAACATACAACTTAACGAGACAGTCTTGTGTTTGTGTCTGGAATGCGTGGCGGACATGCAGCACTACAAGTGTGTCGTGTTGATGGCCGTGCCGCCGCCCGGGGCGCCTCCCCGTTCGGCACCCTGGGCGACGCCATGGACACCGTCATGGACACCGTCATGGACACCGCATGGACGCCCTCTTGGCAACGCGTGCCGCACCTTTCGGCAGCCACACTCTCCATGGTCCGCCTCATGAGCGGGTACTGGTCCAGCACGGCGTTGAAGTGCTCCACGGACAGCGAGAAGAGGTTGCAGTACGTCTCGGCGCGCACCGAGGCCACGCGCCGCGCGTTCGTCAGCAGGCAGATCTCCCCGAAGTACGAGCCGTCCGACAGCGACGTCGCCACCTCGCCGTTCAGCATCACGATGTCCACGATGCCCTCCTGGATGAAGTACATCTTGTTGCCGATCGTGCCCTCCTTGATGATGATGTCGCCTGGAGACAACATTGCAGCAAATTTACACGTGTTCAGACGTTACAGTGGTGGCGGTCACAGCACAGTGGGCCAGAAGACCGGCGCAGGCGGCCGAAACTCTAGACGCGTTTTGAGCTCCAGAGTCGCTGAACAGGACTCGAACCGAACGTGTGACCCCACCAATGGATTCCTCGTTCGGAGAGCAATCCATTGGTGGGGTCACACGTTCGGTTCGAGTCCCATTCAGGGACTCTGGCCCACAGGGAAGCTAGGGCCACGTCATCATCCACGCCTCCACCGAAAATATCTCTGGATTCACATAATTTTTTTTTCAGAGTACAATATTGTTCAGGAAGGCAGACCCGGCTGGCTTACCTGGCTGGAAGACCTCGTATCGCAGTTTGGTGACGACGTCCGAGACGAAGTTGCCGTCCGCGTTGGCGAAGAACGGCACGGACGCCACCAACGACCGGCAGTTGTAGTTGATCACGTCCTGCAACAAGGAGAGCGAGAGTGAGGGAGAGAGAGAGAGAGAGAGAGAGAGAGAGAGAGAGAGAGAGAGAGAGAGGAGAGAGGAGAGAGAGAGAGAGAGAGGAGAGAGAGAGAGAGAGAGAGAGAGAGAGAGAGAGAGAGAGAGAGAGAGAGAGAGAGAGAGAGAGAGAGAATGATGAACGAACCTCTCGCAGCTTTTCCGAAAGCTCGCCCAGGATGGCCTCTTCGTCGAAGAACTTGCCCTGGTACCGGTGCTCGAAGTACTCCGTGATCCGCTGCCGCATCTCTCGAGGCAGCTTGCGGTAGGCCATGTACTCCTCCACTTGTTTTACCTGCAGAGCACAAGGTGGTAAGCCGGGGCTTCGAGCTCAACATGTTGAGCAACTTCATTCCTCCCATGAAAATCAAATGCATTTTTCTAAAACTTGGTTGATTTAGTGCACTTAATCGCAGGACACAAATATTTAACACAGTGGGCCAGACGACAGGTGTAGGCGGCCAAAACTCCAGCTCCAGAGTCACTAAACAGGACTCGAACGAACGTGTGACCCCACCAATGGATTCCTCGTTCGGAGAGCAATCCATTGGTGGGGTCACACGCTCGGTTCGAGTCCCATTTAGCGACTCTGGCGCTCCAAACGCGTCTCGAATTTTTGCCGCCTCCACCGGCCTTCCGGCAAATCCACTGTGCGTTGCCGAGTCGGACGCACCCGCTCGCGGTACTGCCGTCGGCTGGAGTCGAGGGACTGGATGAGGTTGGTGGCGTGGCCGAGGAACAGGGCGTAGCACGTCGCCCCGGAGATCATGGACAGCATGGTGAGCCACATGTCGGTGAGGGACTGCGGCGGGAAGCGGCCGTACCCGATGCACAGCATGTGCGACATGGCCTTGAACAGCGCCCACGAGTACTGCTCCAGCCAGAACGCGTCCTGGAACAGCGAAATGCCGCGGCAGGGATCAAGGTCTTTTTCTGGCCAAGAATCAAAGAGCGACGATCATCATCAATTTTTAGCTTTAGCACCAAAATTTTGCCTTCAAGACCGTCGCGAAGCGCCTGGCGGATAGGCAACGTGTCCGCACTGAGGACATGCGTGCTTGGCGTTTTGCCTACCCGCAGGCGATTGCGATTGCCATTAACGGCTGGACCACAAGTGATCGTCTGCCTTTCGGGCCCGTCCGCAGGCGCTCTTTCACAGTTGGAAGGTTTTCAGAGTGCACATAATTTTAGTCAGTGGCAGTGGAGGTGACTCGACTTTGAAGGTTCCTGACCTGCAGCTCGTTGATCGCCACCCACGAGTTGGCGGGGAAGCCCTGCAGCATGGGCACGAGGAACTGGAGGCAGCCCGACCAGTGGCCGATGAGGAGCATCATGCAGATGAGGTTGAAGATGCGCATGAAGACGCTCGCCATGTTTAGGAACTGCAACAACGGTTTCATTTTAACCTTGCCTAAGCGTCACGCTCCTCGACGGTTCCCCTCCTCGTTTCGTTATCGCATGCAAACGCCTCTTGACCAACACGAAGAACCAACGAAAATGTTGAGTTTGCGGGAAGCAAGTGCTTGTTCCCTACCACCATGAGCGTGAGCCGTTTCACATTACATGAGAGTATTCTGTTTAAAGAAAACGTATGAGGAATGCAACAGCGGCACATGAAAGTATGACACGCGCATTTCCAGGCGAGGTGGCGTGAAATAGCGACGTGTTCTCATTAATCGAAAAGCTGAAAAAGAAAAAAAAATACTCTGGTAAAGTATTATTACACAGTGAAATGCAGCGCACGACACATACGTATTTATATGTACGACATAGACTGCATAAGCGCTTGTCCGACAAATGTTGAAAACTCCACCAGATAAAATTAAACTTTAAATGATAATAAAAACAAGTGAACATCTGCCCATGCTGTAAAAGCCACGTTGTAGGAACAGGTCCCCAACATAAACCACAAAACATTAAGCTTACAAATAAACAAGTATTTTGTGCTTCAAGTATATTTAGTTTCCCACCACCGTGCGCGTGGACTTAAATAATTAAGACATTGGTGACAATTTTTTCTTTAAAAATAATGTGAAGAAAAGCGCAGATCGTTGCACACATATATGCCACATAAAAGCAGATGGCTCAGCTAACGATAACACATGAATATACAGGTTTGTAGTAACTATTAATTGAGTAATTTTAATTTTAACAGTAGTTTTCGATTAAAAGTGGCCGCTTATTGCTGCACTTATTCGGATAATGGGATTTTCCCCTGATCTGCGAAGTAACTGTCATTTGGAATCGTACACAGTACTTTCTGTAGTTACTTAGGCAAGGTCTTTGTTTCACTTTGATTGACAAAAGACTGCAACCGTCTAAATTAACATGCATGGCGATCTATCGAATATAAATTGCTGGGACAAGTTAGCACTCTGGAATGTGGATTTGGTAACGTCATCGATATTCTACCTTACAAGGGTACCGGTGCAATTAATTGCCTATTGGTTTAAACGTGCGCTACTTCTGTAGCTATTCACATAAAGTTTAACTGTCATGCAACATTTTAATCTAACAAGCATACTGACGACCGAAGCTCAAAGTTTGCTCTTCACTATTCACAATAGAAAACAAAAAGATATTACAATGTCAGGAATTTAAAATTATCGTGAGATCTGACTCCAGCTTCAGTCGTGAGTAAATTACAATACACCAACTGCAAACCTGCGCTTCTCGACCAACAAGACCGATACTGTGACCATTGCTCTGCCTCTGCTGTCGACTAGCTCCGCCAAAAACGAAGCCAAGCCTGTTACAAGCGGTGCTAGAATAACATCAACATGAAACCAAGACTTTTTTCTTTGGAGTACCATTGCGTACATATTTTTAAAAGGTCGACCTCATTTTATAATTGAGGAGCAGAATGAAGATCTGATGATGCGATGCACAGTTTTGTTAACAGTACCTAAACGAGTTGGCAACAAATTCACGAGCGACAAAATCAAAGGTCGTTAATAAATGCGGAGCGATAAGTCTACGACATTTAATGGCAAAGACGATTTTTGGTCAACCCTTTGCCGCGATAGTGAGAAACAAAAATCCATTTCGAAAAGAGCCGTTGGGAGCTACGGCAGCGTCTAGAAGCTGGATCTAGCAAATCCGATCCTCATCCTCTTCCTCTCCCTGCCTCTCTCTCTTTCTCTGTCTTTGACCCACTCACTCCCACTCCCTCTGACTGCTCTGGGCTGTGCTGCGGCCTTTCGAGGTCCTCCGTGGCGCTGCTGGGGAGGCGGACATTCGCGTCACATGCAGAGAGCAAATTACAACAGACAGGAGAAAGAAGGAGGATCAAGAGACATGCCTTACCATGCGGAGCCGAGCCACTACTTGGCACTGCCTAAACAGTGAGGCAGGGGTCCGGAGCCTAACCAGGTTAAGCGCTACGGGTAAAGATAAAAAAAAATCACTTTTGAATATTTGTTACCCCGAAAGCTTGTAGCTCCCACCGTTAAGGAGGAAAACAGCCCGGGACAAGGCGTGTACTACTTTACGAACCTCTGTAATGGACCATTCGGCGCGTTCTTGTAGAGCCAGTAGACGGAGACAAAGATACGAGTCAAATTTTGTGAATTTCGCGGTTTTGCAAACTAAGCAAACTTTCGCGGCCATGAATTTCCTTTCAAAGACAAAACCAGACTCAAAGCTCTCAAGTTTTCAGTAAACCACATATGAAACACCCGTCTCAAAACGAAAAAATAGCAATCAGGCGAATCAAGAAATTGGGTTTGATTAGAACGGACAACGCGACGAGACAGGGTGACCTGGGCTCATGCAAGGACACGGGGGTGTGCACCTCGACAGGAGTCTCTGTGACGGGGGTCTCTGACGGGAGTCTCTGTGACGGGTCTAATGGTGGGGAAAAGGGAGTGCGCGCTAGACTTGACAGACAGATAAAAACAAAATAAACGAACGCAAAGGGGGGCTGTTTACAGAGACGAGGCTTTGACGAGGCAAAGAGAGCGCAGTTGACCATCTAACGTGCAGCCTTGGGCTCAGACCTTCATGCACAGGGGAATGGCGACCGGGACGAACGATCCCGGGGGTCTTGAGACAACCTTCGCCGCAGAAGAGAAGAGACATCGTCTAACGATAGAATTTAAGAGCAGAAATGCAAGGTTAGTTACGTGGAGCGGGGTGGGCTAGCCATGCAAGCGGGCAAGCTGGAAGGCCGAAGCAGCAGCGCCAGCAGCTCCAAGGAAGGTTACCTTAAAAATCAGGTTGCTTTTTGTGAACCTAGACTTTTTCTTGGTGGCAGCATCAGAAGCGCGCCTTCCCCGTCTTTCTGTGCGCTTTTTTTGCAGATTCTGCAAGATCTAGAAAAAAGAAGCCAAGAAACATGAGGTAGAGAAGGCAAAAAAAGCCATCGCACCAATGTTAAGAACGGTTAGGGGAATTGACTGTGAAGTGTTTACAAGGCTACGAAAGTTCGAGTTCATCAAAGCAGGCTAACAATTCTGTTGGTTAACAAAATTAGAAGACGTGAAGTAGGTTAGTTGGAACAAAGCTGGTCACCGCAAAACGTTACTTTTTAGCAATGTGAGAAGAAATTTGGAACTGCAGTCAGAGGGAGGTGAGCGAGGGAGACGGGCACACTTGACGAGATAGGAGCAGCCACAAGAGGAAAAGAGACAGTCACGCGCTCGAGTTGTCTGGTCTCTTTCTATTATTTATAAGGCGTGCATGTACAAAGCAATGCTCGAGTTCAAATTTAAGAGGTGACAACTTTCCGTTTTACTGAACAGTGCTTGATCACTTTTTATTTTAAGTGAGAGGAAAACTTCTGTGAGTTTTTATTCATTGTGAGTTTTATATGTTGTCTAAGTATAATCTAGAAATGTCCCTATCTAAAAGCAGTGTAGATGGATTATCTACGCGGAGCGTCAAAATTTAATTTACACTGTTGAAATTGTTAACAAGGAGTATGGGGAACCGGATTGCGGGTGAAAACTTTAAACCGCACAAATAACACACAACGGTTACTCGCGGGGTTACTGCAAAAACGAGGCCCAATGACAAGGTATACCTTGAATGCCATGTCGGACATCTGTCACGTGACAGTGTTGCTGCTGGCGTTGCGCGGAATGCGAAGCATTTCTCTCTATCATCGGGCAAGAGGCACACACGACTCGCTCCGTCTCCCTCTGCAGCAATTGCCACTACCAAGGTGAGAGGGAGAAACAAAATGCAAATGGACAAAATTCACAACCGAGTACATCGCAAGACAGAGTTTTTCAAACACAAAAAACACACGATATTGCAAACCAGGTCGAGTTCAAACACACACGTCTACTGCATCGCACGGAAAATTGACGGCAAGCAATGAAATACAAATTTTGTGAAGTGAGGAAATTACCACTGTTATTGCAGCCCAGCTACAATCAATTTTTGATTGAAACGAAACACTAGAGAAAGTATTTTCCGTGCGATGAGGCTTCATACAGGGAAAGCATGGAGGGTTCGAGCTGATACAACCGATCCACTAAGTTACTGTCAAATTTCAAATATTGCGCCCTCTTTCTACGTACCAGTTGCAGGAAAACATGCTCATTTATCTACAACTTCGCTGTAGTACAAAGGATTAGGCTTAGCTCACTCTGGATCCAGTCTTTCGGGCTATGAACGCCCGCAAGAGGTTACTGTTGTACTTAAACTATTTTCTGCAATGTCCATAGGGTTCAGACTTGCTGCAATACGCAAGCTGAATTGCAGCTCAAGTGCATAAAAGGAACCAGTATTTGACCTCGCTCTGGTCTGGATAAGGGCTGGAGCTTCTCAAGGAACCTTCCTTGTAAAGCCGCAGTCTAACAACGACTTCAATATTACTAACTTGTGGATGTGAGCTAGAAAAGGGAAATCTACTTTAGACAGTATAATTAATTAGTTTTAAGTTTTACCGAATTAAGACAGAATTAAAGAGTATGTACAGGACAGCGTTCGCTCCGGTTGAATAAGAGGCCCCTCCAGCACATGCGACTTTTTACATTAGAATAAATAGAAAAAAACATTAATCTATACAGAATTGTCTACTCATACAGGACTTATTCACTACAGTTGTGTGCTGGTGTGCCAACGCAGGCAGGAACAAGGTAAATAATTTGTCTAACTTCCGAATCATACCAAACCGGTGCGATTTGCAAACATAGTATGGAATTGAAATTAAATATAGTGCAAACTTACTTAGGATCGAATCTGTGCGAGAGGGTTACCGACCCCAGAAAAAGGCAAAGGATAAAATTCTTAAGGGAAGGGTGTAATATAAATGACTAGCCGCCGGATGTGCAAAATACCAAACACTACAACTCAGAGGAGCAGGAAGATTCTACAGTATGAAAACGTACGCAAATGGGCTACTAAATGATCTTTAATCAGTGCAGGGGCGCAATCCTTGTAAGATAATGTTAGGTTAAGCCTTCCCTACCAACGACTCTGTTCGAAATGACGAATGGGCTGAAACCGTCTTTCTCCATTTTATCGAAAACCGCACGCATCACATATCAGTCGCCTATCGGTAAGTGTGAAACAGAAGACCTGGAAACCGGCTTACTCGCAGCTCGTTCTTTCTCACAACGCAACGACGTGCACCACGCTGACACACTGACACACAATCTAGTCTACGAACACCATTCGACATTCACAAGTCAGGTAGTTTACTCGTGCTCGGCAATGCCAAAACAAAAAGGTTCGTCTTGTCGAAAGAACCTTTCCACCCACATGGAAGCTTGTCCTCGAGGTCGCGGCCGGGGCCGAGGCCGGGGCCCTGGAGCCGCCCGTAAGATATAAGCGCAGTCCAGCATGCTATGCGTCGGGAACGGGTGGGGACTGTCTTGCCATGGTTCAGCCATGGTCCAGCCGCCGTCAAGCAAGGGGGGAGTCTCTACGCTGCCACCAGAGTCATTGAGGCAGCACGAGGACGAGCAGCCCGCCTTCGTTACTTGGTTACTTCGTTTCATCCAAACGAATGTCTAGGCAAACAGTCTAAACATAAAGACGTCGGTCATTACGAGACGTCATGTCTGCCATGTTCATGTTCCCCGCTAGCCGCGCCTTGGCCGGCCTAGCGACGGGAGACTCGGTAATGACTGACGTCCTTTACGGTAAACATTCTCAAAAAATACAACAATCAAAACATCGAACGACAAGAAAACAAAAACACAACATTCACAACAACCACAACAACACAAAATTGGCAGGTCGAGTACAGTAAACTGACGGCAGGCAATATTGCCCCACCTTCTGAAGCTGGGGGGCGTCACCCCCGCCCTCTGAGTGCTCTGAGCCCTCGGGGCCTTGCTCGGGGCCGGGCGGGGAGGAGGAAGAATTGCAGCGCTTGCGCGTGGAGGACTCATAGCCCAGGTGTCCGCTGGGCGAGGGTGGCGGAGGCAGCTAAAACAGAACACATGGCAGCCCACACGCACGCACGCTCGCACTCTCTCACACACGCACACAACCAAAGACACACACAACAAAAACACACTTGGTTTCAACATACAATGGTTAAGAACGTTGCTGCTCATGTCGGACGAAAATAGTGATTAGGAAGACAAGAGAAGCACCACCACATCGCGCCGTCCTTTTATTTATTACAGTTGCAAGGCATTCAGTGGTGGACTGCTTGACTAGTGCTGTCATGATGTAGATACAGTGTTCTAGGGCGAACGACATGAGCCATGAATAGTCACAATGGTATGGCCCTTTCGGTGATTACACATTACACAAGGTGACAAATAGTCAAAAATATGGATGCAAAGTTTTGTGTAGCAGTGTCTCGAAAAAAGTGAGGTGAACGCGGAGAGAGAACCAAAGCTAGCTCCAACCTTAGGTGTTTACCAAAGGCAAAATAACTTCAAAATAACTTCATGACGTAACAAAAAAAACCTTCGTTTTTGCACAAGCCTACGAGTGCCAAACAAAATTCATAAAAATAAAAATACAGAAAAATTAGTTAGGAAATAAAAACGCGTTACAATAAATTTGAAGTTATTTTCCATCAGCGACTCCTACACCGCTCGTCGGTGCTGAACCGACCAAGACGCAACACTGAGTGAATTTTCAGTTCTCTTTCCACAACATACTTGAAAAGCTACGCGTAATTGAGAATAAGGAATTGGATGCTTACGTAGACTTCCTCCCATTGGCTGACGTAGCGCACGAGCCTGGACAGCCGCAGCAGTCGAACGAGAGACAGCAGCTTGGCCAGGCGAAGGATGCGCAGCGCGCGGCCCGCGTGGAGGATTTGAAAGCTTTCGCTGAAATCCTGGAACAGCCAGAAAAACCATTAGCGCCAGTCTTCGCGCTCCGCAAACCACAGCAAGGCCTGGCCACGCCTCGAGAAGCATCGCCAGAGTTTGGCTCGTGGCGCAGGACACTTACTCTGACGTGACTCGGCAGCCTCCTGACCGAATCAAGCAGAGTATGTCCAGTCGGTTTGACCAAGTTAGGGCGATTCTCGCTGTTTGGCCGATCCTCACTCCGGTTGCAGAGCGTTAGATTTGCAGAAAAGCCCAAGCTTGCAGTGTACAATTATTGGTAGAACCGTAAGGCACCGATGCCCCACCCATGTTACTAATGTTGTGCGTCTACTGTGGTGCACCCAGCACCTTATTTTTGTTTTCTGATAAATTATGTGCCGTTCCCAATACACATGAGTGCTATTATACAGCGGGAAATGATTTAATTTTCTAAATTGACAGAAATCGCATATGATCGACGAGTTTTCTTTGACTCCAGCAAAGCAAACGCGTTTCGAAGAGCTCCCAGGATTGTGTTGATGGATGCATCTCAAAGATGAACGAAAATATCAAAGTTTACAGAGATACTTTTTCAATGATCAAACTGCAATGTAAGACACGAAAAGCAAGACCAAATGCAGCCAACAAAAGCCGGATTTAATTAGTAAAGACGAAAACAAACAATACTTTTACTTATTTTTGTACAGTGTTGTCCAGCTCGTGCCGAACCACGCGGCATTACCATGCGACACAGGGTGCGTATGCAAGGTGGGAGGAAAGCTTTTTCTTTCACACGTCTTCTCTACAGCATGCTTGCATGAGGACGGTCGCCCCTTACTTCATTGGCCTAATATTGTGCTGCTACCATCATGCACTACGGCCTAAAGTGCAGAATGCGTTTCACATATACATAGGCCATCTAGCGCATTGGGCATTAAAAATAATATCCTAGATTGCCAGAAAACATTCGCCCAATGGAAAAAAAATCATTCATTCACGCATTCGTGCTTTCGGACCATTGTGCGGGAACAACTCACCGAATTTGACGACTGTCCCTTCCACTTTGCGAACTGCAACAGGATGGGGACATTTTCCGTGTCATACTTTGGAAAATTGTGCAACATGGTCTGTACCATGGAGAACCGGATGGCGTAACCAGTTTTTTTTTTTGAAAATCTTTCTTTCAAAACTTCTGCAGCCATGTTGGGCTGGGTAAATAATTAAGTAACCTCAGCCAGGCAGCCGATGAAAATTCTACTCGGTCAAATGAAAAATGCGAACGCCATGCTTTCCCGGTAAGACACACCTAGCCACGACACGCTACTCCATGGAGCACACCCAGAACTCCTACAAGACACATCGAACAAACTACAACACACACCAAAGAAAACCGTATTCTACCGAACGTCAAACCAGCTTCATGAGTATCAGATACGAAGCCACACAGAAAAAAGGCTGTTGATGAAAATGAAAATCAAAAGACACTTTGTAATGCACTAATGGAGTTGCGTTGCCCAGGAATACCACCACAAACGAAGTTCTAGGACTGCTCAGTTAACAATGTCAGAATGTGACTTTCTCTGGGCGCTGCATCTCAGTAAACGAATCGCAGCACACACACACATGGAAACGCCATGCTCAAAGAAGGGCTCCGACAGCCCGACTCACCTGGTTGAATATCAGGAAGATGTAATCTAGTGGTATTGAACTGATGAGATCCAGAAAAAACCAAGTCTTGAGGTAGTTTTTTGCTATTATTTTTGGGTCTAATATTACTTGTTCGGCGTTGTCTTGTTGCATTATGCCTAAAAAACAGAAGTAATCAAAATGTTAATAAGAAAATCTTGCATTTTCAAAAAAGGGAATACAGTAGGAAGGAAAAACTGAAGATAAAATTACTTACCAGTACGAAAGTTGACAACGATGTCTATAAGAAATATGGTGTCGGAGAGACAGTTGAAAGCTATCCATCTCGTACTGAGGTCGTCGTTGAAGAAAGATATGGCGACGGGCAGTATAATAAGGTTGGCCACTAGCAGCAAAAGCATACATAGGTCCCAATAGAAGCTGAAACAGAAGACACGGCCACCGGTTAATTTGACGGTGGTACGGCGCGCTGCTCAAGCGAAGTACCGAATGCATTATTATGTTTGATTCAGAAATAAAATAAAGTTTTTGAAGGAACTGCAGGAGACTTTAAGCTCCTATTATTTTACTCGGTGTAAAGAATTATTAAGTATGAATGTATTTTTTAAGTTTTAGAAAAGCTTCAGTACTTTGCTTGACTCACGCTTTACCTGTCGATTCGTCATCAGAACCGTCATACACTTTTAGGTTCTTTCAATGGCCCGACCGATATCGATTCCCGCACGTGTGGCAGTGGCTCGCACCAGTTCGCTCCCGACCAGCTGGGCCGGCCGGCTAATAGAAATCGTCACGCGAAGATGTATAAAGTGGTTCACAACGAGCAACACACAAAGGTTGTGGCACTTGACAAAAAAAAGGGGGGACTTCCGCCATGGGGGCGCAATCCACTTGCGACTCAATGAAATTCTTTAAACATCTATGAACATTCATGGATGAAAAGTAATTTGCTTGAGTCCACTTGCACTCTCGTCTGGCGTGATGAGGATCAAACTCTCCGCATCGACAGTCGCGGCCGTCGCTGGCAGCCACACCGGCGGGCAGCCACGCTGGCAGACAGGCCGCCACCACAAGCCTAGGCCATGCTCGGGCCACATCGGGTTCTTCATCTGGGTCACGTTCTGGCACACCCCCAGCAGGCCGGTGCCGCACAGCGCTTTCTGTCTCTCTCGCACCCCCGCGGAGCTACGCGGAGCGAGCGTCCCTCGTGTTCGAGAGAGACAGAGCGACGCCAGCCGGCAGCCACGCGCCATTTAGAACTTTTGCCGACTTGTGAATCTGAATGTGTTTTTATCCCCTTATCGCCGACATCAAAATGAATTAGGGGCGGCGAGGCACGATTCTCACCCCAACACGATGGTAAAATTGGGTCAAATGTGGCGAAAGTTAGCAAGGAGAGAAAAAAGACAAAAAGACTTTAGGGGAGGGGGCTTGGATGTCACATTGTGGCCACCAAGAGTATCACGTCAGCAAACTCCTCTCGGGGGAGAAGTAGTTTCTTTTTAGACGGCAGCGGAAAGAGAGAAATCATAAAAACAAAACAATCCAACGAGAACGTGGTGGGGGCAAACTATGTGCCTGCATGAAGATAAATGGCAATAAATCGGCCTGCGACAGCAAAACTGTTTCAAACTGACATTGCCTGTAACCCGGGCGGCTAATCCTTCCTAAATGAGTTCGCCCGCCGACCGCGCCGACGCTCTGCGCCCCTTTCGACCAAGCCCGGACGTCCTGGACCCCGCGATCACACTGCTAGAAACGTTACCGCACCGCCGCACTGCGGGTCAAGACCATAGTGGAGGCGGCCAAAATTCTTGACGCGTTTTGAGTCCCAGAGCCTCTAAATTGGCCTCGAACCGAGCGTGTGACCCCACCAATGGATTCCTCGTTCGGAGAGCAATCCATTGGTGGGGTCACACGTTCGTTTCGAGTCCCATTTAGCGACTCTGGAGCTCAAAACGCGTCTAGGATTAAGGCCGTCTCCGCCAGTCTTCTGGCCCACTGGAGCGCTGAGCCAAAAAATCAACTGTCGGCTTCTCCTATCAGTGTTTCGATAACTTGAATTTTCAAGGTCACCGACAAAAAAAAGGAAGAAGCGGAACAAAAAAAGGAAAAACAACAAAAAATATACCATAAACTTACGATCCCTACGGTCCGGCGGCTGCAATTTCTCATACCGTAAAAGTCGCGTAGTGCTTTTGTGCAACGACTGCTGCTTTGAAAAGGTGGAGGGCCGACCCCTTGGGCGCAGTACCGGAGAGAAAGAGAGTGCGGGGAGGGGGAGAGGGGAAGGGGGAGAGGGGAAGGGGAGAGGGGAAGGGGGAGAGGGGAAGGGGAAAGGGGGAGGGGGAATCGGTCTAGAAAGCCCGGCCGGCGTCCGAACGGTGCCCTTTCTTTTTGTGGCGTTTCACAGTGGCGTTGCACCCTCTCCGCGCACTGGCCCTCCTTCCCTCCCGCCAAGATGAATGTGGCCCCCATAGATTCCTGTAATGACCACATTTCTATTCAGAGGCCTGATCCCCCTGATGCCACCACGGGGCCTGCCCGGCCTGCCAGGAGAGGCCTGCAGGCCAGGCGGGCCGCACCGCCGCCTCGGCACACCGGCACACCCTGATGTCTTATTCAGTGCGTGTCGATTTTGTTTCGGGCCGAGCCGATGCTCGCAGGAAAAAGGCAGCGCGCGTGCCAAAAGAGGACCGGTCATCACTTAATTTGTCGCGCAGGCGCACGGATTTCCGGGACCCGCACACTGTGAATGTCTTGCGGTGAAAGGCTGCACTGGAGATTTTCTCCGAAATACCAACGAAATTCGTCAAAATATCTACTTAAGGTACAGTGACTTCTCAATGGTATGTTATTAAGTCAGCTGCACCACCATAATATGGAACATTTTCACCACAATATGGAGAATCTTCACAGTACATCATTTAGAGTGCACCCGGAAGAAGAATACGAAAACATCTGCTTGGTACAAAATTACGAAGTAAACAAAAGTATTGTTGTAGAATTGCTTCGTAATGCAAAGCATTTCTGCGAAGATTTTTCACTGTCTTCGTTTGACTTTTTACAAACTTTTTTTTACAGACTTTTTATTGACTTTGTACAGACTTTTAAAGCTTTCATAGAGTTCTGCAGACTTTTTTTTCTTACAGACTTTTACAGGCATTTTACAGACTTTTAACAGTGGGGCATTGCCCGGCACAGAGAGGAATAGATTAATAGTGGCCGCGCAGTCAATGGCGATGCAAAATGGATGATCCGGTACAAGCAGAATGCAGGATGCTCTGTGCCTATGGCTGTGCCCATGGCTGTGCCGCGCAAACGATGAAAGATTCCGAGTCGCCTTGTCAACAATTTACCGCGGAACATCCACGAGAACACTCAAGTCTGACATCCTGCTTCTAAGGAGGCTAGGCACGGGAGGGAAGGCTCACGTGAAAACAGGAAAATGTCCGGAAATTACTTTTGCTATTCACAGTTCACAGTGCAGTCACTGCTCGGTTCAACAGAACGCGTCTGTTTTTCCACTGTGCTGCCCTCTTCCCTGTTTGAAGTCTCGCAGGAGGGAAGAGTGACCTTGGCTAACCTTGTTCTACTTTGTAGCAGGCCTTCAGGATGACAACAGCCCCCCTCTACGCACCGCCTCGGCCCACGCCGTTTGACGAACTAGCCCTCTTCGCAACACGCAACCCCAGTCTCGCTCAACGTCCGGATCCACGCTGCGAGGCACAGCCGAGCCCGAGGGCCCGAACACAACATCAATCCAAGGGCGCACAGTGGGCCAGAAGACCGGTGGCGGCGGCCAAAACTTCAGACGCGTTTTGAGCTCCAGAGTCTCTAAATGGGACTCGAACCGAACGTGTGACCCCACCAAAGGATTGCTCTCCGAACGAGGAATCCATTGGTGGGGTCACACGCTCGGTTCGAGTCCTGTTTAGCGACTCTGGAGCTCAAAACGCGTCGAGAATTTTGGCCTCCGCCGGTCTTCTGGCCCACTGTTGGGCCGTGGGACATCGCTCACGTGCACGGTGCACTGTTACTGGCCCGCATTGCTCGGAGAAACCATTAAGGAATAAATGCCCGGACGCAATTTCCGGACCGATTACCTCTTTTCGCCAGTGCACCACAGTGTAGCGGTGAGAGCATTGTCATGCAAATGAACGAGCGTGCCGACACGTGTAAAGCACACGGACTGGATAATTTATTCACGTGTTTTATTTGCGGCTCTCCAGGGGGCTCGGCAGGGGAGGGGGAAGGGGGAGGGGGTGGGTACTGCACTGCAAGGGAAGGCAGCCCGCCATTGTGGGCCAATGCAGGTCGTTGTTGAACCGTCATACAACATGCAGGCTGCCAGGCAGGCACAGTCACTTTGTTTGAAATTCGGCCCTTTGATGCGGGGTGCGCACAGTGGGCCAGGAGACCGGTGGGGGGCCAAATCTCTACAGGCGTTTCCAGCTCCAGAGTCGCTAAATGGGACTCGAACCGAACGTGTGACCCCACCAATGGATTGCTCTCTGAACGAGGAATCCATTGGTGGGGTCACACGTTCGGTTCGTGTCCCATTTAGCGACTCTGGAACTCAAAACGCTTCACGAGATTTGGCCCCCTCCACCGGTCTCCTGGCCCACTGTGGCGCGGGGTCCTGGCTGGGCGAGGTGGTGGCGAACGCCTGCGAGGCAGGCAACACGAGTGCACGCACGCCCGTGCGCGGCCTACCTCGCAGGCGCTCTCGGCCGCGCACGCACACCACCACCGCGCAGATGACTTCTGTTGTTTTCCTCCCAGAAAGGTGGAATCTTGCTCGATCCCACGAGTACACTCGAGCAAATCCTGCCGAAAAGGCAGCATGCCAGTCCAAGTGGCCCAACGCGCCTGGCAGTACAATACAGTGCAATACCGGTCGCTGCGGCACGTCCAATGTCTGTCCGTCCTTCCGGGCCCTGCACAGTGGGCCAGCAGACCGTCGCAGGCGGTCAAAATCCCGGACGCGTTTTGAGCTCCAGAGTCGCTAAACAGGACTCGAACCGAACGTGTGACCCCACCAATGGATTCCTCGTCCGGAGAGCAATCCGTTGGTGGGGTCACACGTTCGGTTCGAGTCCTGTTTAGCGACTCTGGAGCTCAAAACGCGTCGAGTTTTGTCCGCCTACGCCGGTCTGCTGGCCCACTGTGCTCGGCCTGGCTCGGTCCAGAGAGGCCACCCATTGTTGGGCGTCGATGCACGTGCCCTATTCCCTGCCAGCTTCGCACCCGTTCCGCTACACTGTTGCCGCGCGCTGCACAGCACTAACAGGTGTTTGTTATCTTAGCCTAGGCGAGGATGAAAGACGGCTTTTGGAGCTCAACTCCGGAACGCAGTGTGAGTTGTTTAATGCCGGTGACCCAAACTTTTAACGATAGTGGGAGAACCATTGCTTTACAGGCAGGGAGTTTTAAAAACAGCTGATATGGCTTTTTAAATGCGTGTTGTTGCCAGCCAAATTCTTAATTTTAAAAAATTAAGCCCCGACGTTTTGTTAAACTTTTGTCACGCACTTCAATTTATAACGTGTTAAAATTTTTTGGGAGTCATATTTCCCGGAGAAGTGGTTGCGGAAAAGTGGCCTCCTATCTTCGAATTTTTTTTCAACCTGCTTTGTTTCTATTTTTGAAAGTGTTCTCAGCAGGCAAAAAATAGTTTCTAAACACAATGCCTCCGAAAATCTTTGGATCGCACGTTCGGGATTGCCGACACTGTGAGAAAAAAGGACGGAAAAAGCATGGAACATGTCTAGTTAATAATTTGCCTGGACCGTCCGTACTTGCCAACTACGGAACGTTCCATACTTTTTTCCGTACCCATTTACATGGGTTCATAAGGAGCAAGTACGGAACGTTCCGTACTTTTCTCCGCACCTCCGTACTATATTTTTCTGTACCATTTCCGTACAAAAGTACGGAATGTTTTACAGTGGACTTTATTTTCAACCGTGAACGAAAGGCAG